ATGCTGAGCAGGAATTCATATTATTCACTCATATCATCAATTGCACTGGGCCTAATTTAGACCCTTGTGGGACGCCATTATCTACCAATAAAAGCAGCTCAATTAAAATCATTCATCACTAAATTCTCATCTTCACTGAGGATTCAAGAAACTAGATACAAACCCAGCTCTATAGTTCAACAGGTCGGCAGTGAATCACAGGGCAAACACAAAGAGGGCAACACACTTACATTCATGCTCAAAGGAAATTTAGAGATGCAACTTAACCTAGAATACATTTATTCTGAAGGTCAAGGATACAGGGAGGAGAACAAGGAGAGAAACCACACAAACACAGCAAGAACAATAAAACTCCTTTAGCTGGCCAGCGAGTTTGTCCTTCATTCTTTAGGGTGACAAATGTACAAAGCAAAAACGCTTCTGCTCATTCCTTACTCTTAGAAAAGGTTGTCAAAATTCTTGATACAGAGGTACTTTTTTATACTTTTTGATACTACTTGTAAACGATACAATCTGTTATTTCAATGTTGGATAGTATTAAAAAGTTATTCAGTGGTTAATTAAATCCAAAGCTCCAGCAAGAGAAAGAAAGAGAGCAGCAGAGGTCTGTCTAAATTCACAAGTCAGTTTAACTGGATAATGATGAAAAACACTAGAGGCTAATTTGCACAAATACATTGCTGTTGCCAATGTATTTGTGCAATTTACACATTGTTAGTATTAAAAAAATAAGGAATTTGTAAATTTTGGGTGCCTCAGACTTCTGTTGTTGTTGCCATGGCATCAGAACAGATATGGTTAGATTTTTTACTCGTATTGTTTGAAAGTTTAAAACTCAGTTATTGTGACATGTTACCCTTTTCTTATTATCTTTATTTCAAGTTATTCAATAACAGTCGGTTTGCAGTTTTAATTGCAAAAATAAAAGGGGACTGTGCCTATGTCAGCCTGTAAGCATGTCGTCTGCAGAGATGAGAAGCATTAAAACCACAATGTTTGTATCAGACATTGTCACCAGACCATGAGAAAAAAAAAAAGGCTTAACACTGTTTAACACTGTGGTTCATATGAGATTTGATGTTTGTGAGTGTGGTTCTTTAAACTTATGTGAAATGTGTGACCTACTATTCACCTTGATAACACAATGTGAGGGGTTAATTGGAGATTGGCATCAAAGCTTCTTCGCTCTAAAATGGTAAATCTCCTGCGAGAAGCTTTTCTAACTTCTAGAACTGTTTTATTTTAAATATAAAAACTGTCAAAACACAAGTCGATGTTTCATTAAGCTGCAGAAAACAATCTTTCCCATCTCCTCCTACAAAGATTGTTTGTCTTGTTATGAGGCTTGACTTTTTATAATGACTACTTACAAACGCACGACAATGTTATGTTTTTAACTTTGCATAATGGGAGGTTTTCAGATTTGGATCTTTTCATTTCTGAGGTTTTGAGCTTCTCTTTGTCTGACTTAATTTGTGATTCTGAACTAAAACAGGCCGAAGGTGTGAATAGAGAGAGCAGGGACGTATGTGTGGGCGGAGACAGAAAGAGAATCCGTTTCAGATCAAGAAAACTCCAAGACACCAGCTGCTCAGTTACCACTGGAGGGCGAATTGAAACCTGTGCTTGTGATCCTTATTTCACAGCACAACTCAGTCACTGATGTTACAACAATCATGAACACTTGTTAGATATAAAACAAATCCAAAATGTATTTTCTACTTTAAACATGAAGGGCTGCTCTTTATCTTCACAGGTTGTGGTCTGAGCTGATATGAGGTTAAAAAGAGACACAGGGCTGCTGACAGTGCGTCTCAGTTGAGAGAAGTACTCAGAGGAATATGTTTATAAAAAGTCTCTCTTCTTCAGCCTAAAATAATTGATTAGAAACTCAAATAACAACGTTGGATATCTTTGCTTTCAGTAACGATAACAAACATTTACGATCAGAATCACAATCAGGTTTTTTGCTCACACACACAAGGAATTTGACTTCAGTGAAATGTGCTCTCTGTGTACAAAAGTATTAACAAAAAACACAAAATGAGTACAGACTAAAAGAGACAATAGTGCAGTGGTGAGGAGTACAAACATTCTGAGATAAACATGGTAATAGAATATTTAATTATGTAACCAATGAGTTAAAGAACATGAGGTAGAAAGAGTTTTTATAGTATTTACATTAAGCAGTGTGCATACACATATGAGATAAGGAGGATAATATTACATGATTACGTTATTGACCCTTAAATCTGTTTAAAAATTAAGAAATTGAATTGATCACTGATATTACTAGATTTATCACCAGTCAAACAGCATTTGATTTGAGTTTCATTGTTTGACACTAGCAGTTCTCTGTCACCAGCAGAGGGCGCTTTTTCACAAGTGTTTGATAACTGCATCAACGTAATAAATGTGTAAATTATGGTCTATCTATCTCTGCAGATTTCATAGATCTGGTAAAGATATCGGCTGATATATCGTATCTGATTTTTTTCACTCCCCAATTTTAATATAGGTATCAGCCCCAAGTATTTCTTATCGGTCTAATGGAAACCATGTTGTAACAATAAAGTGGTTTTTTAAATGGCAAACTGAGAAGGAGCGGAAACTTTCTTGCCAAATTGACCAAATGTTTTCTGTAATTATTAATAAATCATGACACTTTGATCACTACCGACGTTGGGTTCCCAGCCTTAGTAAAAAAAAAAATACTGTAACAGACTGTGGTGGTTAATGTGCAATTTCTTTTTCCATACTACTACAGTTCAGTTTTTTTCTGTGTATTGAATTTTCAGTGCAGTGTCAGATGTTTTACGTCTGTTTGAAGGCTTCTTTCTCAGCGTGGTTCGTGTACATTTGCAGTCTGTCATGGTTTCTGTCATCTGATGTGTGGAAATGTATCAGATAAAATAAGTTTCAAAATGAAAAAAGGAACATGATCTTAGAGATTTGAAGATGCATGCTTTCATGTACAGTTATTACTCATGATTGCTTGCACGCTATAAAGAATAACCCAGTTGTCACTTTTATGACTGTAACTTCAGCTGTGTGTGAGCAGACCAAAAACAGTTGAACATTTCTGCTTGAGTTTCACAAACTCTGAATCATCAGATATGTCAGATAACCAAAGGCATCATGATGCAGAGAAATTCTGAATTCTGATCCTCAGATGAAACTTTTTTTTTTGCAAAGTAATTTGGATTGAACACTAGGTGTCAGAGTTACATACTGCTCCTTTAAATCTGAAGGACAATAAATAATCTGAATCTTTACACAGAGATTATGGCACTATTTTCTTTTGATTTTTCATTTTAATAAAAACATAATGGCACTTACTTTAGCATGCTGTTTTAAAGAAAATCTTCATACAAAGAAACTGAATTTGTTCTGATGTAATAAACAATGTTGTTTTGCAAATTACACAACAATTATTAAAGCATCTACAAAACCAATGATTGAATCGAAGGTCTTTTTTATATGTAACGGGGATGTATAAGTTGTCAATCCTGTATTTTAGTTCTTAATCTTCTATCCGTCATATATTGTGTGTGGTTTATTATTAAGTTTCACACAAAAGCTTTGATTTGCTTTTCCGAAAAGCTAAATTCCAAAAAAACATCATTCAAATTAGCATAAACCTCCTTCAACATGCAGCAGAGCCCCAAATGCCAGAACAGTTTCCTGCCTGAGCGAGCCAAGGTTCAGACTGAAGCCATTACTGAAAGCTCAGACATCCTGCACGCTGACAAACACAAAGCAGGAAGCTGTTGCTTTTTACACTTAGTAGTACGTGTGTAAGAGGAACACAGTACTACTTGGTGGGGGGGAAGGAGGGGGGGTTTCACCATATACCCTTTACAAAGACATCCGAGCTTTCTGTGATTCAGCTTTGTTAAATGTTAAGACGTTTTTGGTTATCTTTCATGCTGCACCAGCTTCCTGATTCCACCCTGTCTCTGTCCGGGCTGCTTCTAAACGACAGAGGAAATCCCTTAAGAGTGTTTTCACTAACTATCTGAGGAGGAGCAGGAAACTCCACCACGCTGCCACTTGTCCCTTTGCCCATTCCACCAGCCATGTCAGGACAGTCCCTCTTAGAAAGGAAGATAGATCCCTGTAGTATCATGTGTGTGACCATATGTTTATGTTACGAGATCCTCATGAGTAAGTGAGGGGATCCAGCACTTCCCCGTCTTTAGTCATTACAGTTCAGATTCCATAAATGAAACATGGAGTCGTAGTTCGTCTCTTTGATTAAAATGGAAGTCGTCCATTAATAAACATTCAGATGTGTGGTGATCAAAGCGACTAATCCTTCAGGTTGAGTTTAAATCTTTAAATGGATCAAATATGTAAAACATTTTTTATGTGTGTGTGTTTGGTGGTGGGTTGTTGATTCCTAAAAAAGCTGCTACCTTTTAAAAAAATATATATACTGGTTGCATTTATGGTCCTATTTTCAGTGCCTGATTACACCACGTTTGTGGCTGCAGTGAGTATTCAGGCAGCAGCATGGCGAATATGGAATTAATTGAGACTCAAGGCTTTTATCAAACTACTTAAAGATATTCACAATTATATATTCAAGGTGGCCGGCAGGGGTCAAACACTCGGCAACTGCTGAAACGCTGCACATTCAAAAGCAAATGCAAACTCCTGAAACATATGCAACGGCTGAAATACACTGCAAAAGGTCTTTGTTCAAAGTCGTATAGAGTGTGTCCCAGTTATATTAGACAACGTGTTAGTATCACTTCAAGAGTGTTTTTATTCGTCCCTCCTTTTTTCCTTCTTGTTTGGTTTTAACAAGAAAAACTCTTCTATTAAACTTATCCCAGTTTCTATCAACCAGTTTGTTTACGAGACACATTTAGCATCACAGGACACACACACACACACACACACACACACACACACACACACACACACACACACACACACAGTCATCAGTGCAGAGATAAAGAGGGACGGGCTTGCTCCTTCACACACTCAGCTCTCAGACCTTCAGCCTCTTAGTGGCACCTTACTGCTGATCCCCTCCTCGCTCTGCATCATGATCCTGAACATGCTCGTCCCTGCTCTCATCCTCGGTATGTGTCTCACTTTTAACTCTGTTTTAATTCGACATAAAGGTTTTATTTGAACACTGGAGGTTAATGATGTTTAACTCTCTTAAGAATTTCCTGGGTTCCTGGGTTTGCTGGGTTTGGTCCATGTTTCTGGGTTTGGACCCAGTGTCCATTGCTCACCTGTGTGTGGGGCTGATGAAGGAAACAGAGTATTATAATCGTAGCTGACAAACTGCTGCTGTGAGAGTCTTTTAAAAGTGCTCAACTTGTTCATGTGATGTTAAATAAATGTACTGAATCTGTGCCTACAGGTGTTGTGGAGTTACAATCAGTCAACGTGACAGAGCTGAGCAGCGTTCAGGGGAACCAAACATTCATTACGACTACCGCCGTTTACAGTAAGAGATTCTTGTTGTATATCTTGTGTTTTCATTTTTTAATGAACAGCATTATTCAGCAGTTTATAAACTACAATAAATCATTGGTTAAAGGATCAATCAGTGAGATGTGTCGTGAGTGAAATGATAAAGGTATCTAACTATATGATCATTAAGGAAACATGCTATGTTGAAGTGCTGGCTTCTCTGACAACAATGCAGCAGCCAGTATGTCCTCCTTCTAACTTTAGATTCTGCTCCTGAATGCTCTGGATTTGATTGGTCCAGAGAAGGTAGGTGGTTTTAATCGTCCCCCACACAGCCGTTTTGGACGCCCCTCTGTTTTCCAGATACGAGAGCAGTTATCAGGTCAACAGGTGTTGCAGCGATGGAAGCGGTCAAGAGAAGTGGTTCAGATAGAAGTGATTGTACCCGACCTAAAAAGCCTCTGCATGTTTCTAATAAGCTCCACGAGCAGAAACGTGCTCAAACTAGGATCAATATTGGAGATGCTTTTGAAAAATGGAGAGAGGTTAGAACACAGAAAGGTTTACAGACCCATGCAGAGCTGGATAAACACTGAAGCTTCAGAGTCCACCACATGGTGACCTGAGTGAGCATGGACTGGGAAGCTGACATGATTCACCATTTGCCAAAAAAAATTGCTGAAACAAGATAATTGGGATATTTGATCTACTACTCTGATTGGTATTAATGCTAAGGTTGAACATGGCAGCAATGTTAGTGAGCATAAACAGACATGGACAATAAGGTCAAAATAATGAATATGAATATTTGTCTGCAGGTACTTCGAAGCCTGAAAATTTGACATCCAAGTTCAACAAAGATGAGCGGCATAGGATTGAGGATGAGCTTCTGAACAACAACACTTCTAAATTCATCACGGAGGACAATGGTGAGTATCCAGTGTTTCCCCTAGGTTTACAGCTTTGGGGGGGGGGACACACCGACACAAACACTTGAAGGAATCTTGGTGTTCATGCGTTAATGACAGCTGTCCTTTTCTATCGGAAAGGTATCCTAAATGACTGCTTCCCCTGATTTCCGACTCTATCCACTATCCTATCTCTACAAAAAGGCCCAAAAAGCCCCAAAATAAATCTAAAAAATATATATATATATATATAATGGTAGGGGAAACACTGGTATCTGAGAGGAAACTGTTGTCCTTATCAGTTCCTTTATATTTCCTGAAGTTAATTACCTGCTTAGGGCTGAAACACTGTCAACATTACTACATGATAAGGTCTCAGCAATCTACTTTCCCTTCTGTGTTTTAAACATGAAAACATGTTGAATGGATTCAAAATACATTTCACCTTCATAAAAAAGGGGGGGGGGGTTATTTATCGGACACTGCTTGGCATTTAGAAAACTGCAGTTTGAAAGAATGCAGTGTGAAACCTGTGTCCCTCTGATCCCCCTCGGCTCTGACAGACCCCAACGCGCAGAGCGGGATTAGACTTTAATTCCTGTTCCTTAAAAGTATTTTTTCCTGCCTTTGCAGAGGACTTTCAGAACCAGGGGACTGGACTTCCAGGCAAACGTTGCCATCAGAACCTGCTAGTAGAGTACAGTCACATCATCTGTGGAGACATTTTCCACAGGGCCATGATGTCGATCAGCAGAGAAAACTGGTGTGTCCTGGACAATATACTCATGTAAGACTAACAATCTACAGAATTTTATTTTCTTAATTTCCTGATTTGTTTCTTTTTCTCTCATTTCATAACTTTTTTTGATTCAACAAACTTAAATTTTCTCTCAGCATGATTGAATAGCTTTGGAAATACAATTTTGAGAACGGGCTACACAGTATTTCTCTGTCATAACTTTACAGACACACTTTGCTTCTGTATCCATGTGTCTTTTACACGCAGTAAGAAATGTCTATGCTGATCTAAATCATATCAGTTTAATATGATCATTACCAAAATTAAACTGATTTAGATGACATATTGTTAGTTAGTTGCAGTCATAATGTTGACATAAAAAATGCAAATTTATGAAAATGTGACTTACATGTTACCGTTCTTATATGTTCTGTACAAGATAACACAAGGTACTACAAAGCTTGTGAGAAAGACAGTAAAGTACTGAATACAATAAAAACACAAGTCCAAACTCCGAAAGAATCAATGCATGTATCAAACCCACGACTTACAGAGTCTATACCATGTATCTGAAATGCTGACTGGTGGTAAAAGAAGTAGTGGGATCCTTCACCCAAGCATGAGTAGCAAAACTTCAGTGCAGCAATATCCTACGTTTAAAAGTCCTACATTTAAGAAAAAATACTTAGCACGTCCAAAGTATTAATATCATAATTCAATTCATCAAAAGTACCAAAAACAAAAGCACCGTCTCATCATGCAACAAGCACCAAGCCAGATTATGATTATTATCCAAGAAGTAATGAGCTCTCTTCAAAGGGTAACTAAACCTTCTTGCTGTTACCATCAGCCGCAACATCATACAGCATGGAGAGGCAACGATTCTTGACAGAAATTAAGTTTGAAGTAGAGGACTTCTCTCTTCCAGAGTGTCTTATGGGCCACGACCACAACTTATACGAAAAAATCACAACGTTTTTGTCAAGTGTGTTCTCAAGGTTCAGATTAAAAAAAGGGGAAACTCCACATTTTCACAACTCTATCCTTCTTTGACTGTCTAGCTCAGTGGTGTCCAAACTTTTTTGCTTGCAGGCCACAGGTTTTGTTTTTTAAAATATAGTTTTAAAAATAGTAAGGCTTTGTAGATCAGAATCAAAAGGCTCGCTAAAGAAACCCTTTAATAAAAGGAAATCAAATATTTTGATTTCTTTGTTCTACTTTATTTGTTTTTTTCTCAGAATCGAGTCTGTAACGTGGTTCATGTTTTTGGAAAAGCTTTCTGCATTTAGCTCAGGTCATTAAATGGTTAAACAACAGTCCGCTTGTTTGCAAAAACTTTACATAAGTTTTTTTTCATAGTTTACAAAATAAAGTGGAAAATAGTTAAAAGCTGTAGATTTAAAAAAAACAACAACATACATGTGACTGAACATTTTCTATTTTAGGAATATTGTTCAGCGCTTGTTAACATGAAAAATAAAAATAAGATAATGTGCCGATCTTAATCAAAATCTTCTGATTCTTCATGTGACGTCACGAGCCGCAAAAAATCCCCTCAAGGGCCACAAATGGCCCTCGGGCCGCACTTTGGACACCCCTGGTCTTGCAAATATAGTCAGTAGCACTTCCATACCAGCCTCACTCCACCCAGATGCACAGAAACATGTAAAAAACATCAAATGTAAATCATCATCAACATAGTATAAGTACTAAATCAACAGTCAGCCGCTGCGGGACATTACAACATGAGCTAATCCTGAGCAAAACCAGCCAGCAAGCCAACACAGAAACACAAAAGTTGTGTTTAACTCACGTTTTTTGTTGTTTCAGCCATTTCCTTTTTCCCTTGTAAGAGTGAAGTGGTCAAAATCCGATATTCCTCCTTTCTTTTCTGCATCTTCGCTAGCCAGCTAACAATGACGTCAGCTAGTTGTCATAGCAACAGTGTAAACGCGCTAGCTAGCTCTCCCGACTGACTAACTAACTCTAATCCTTTTATTTGACGGATAAACTGAGACTAATTGGTTTGAGGTTACTTTAGAGGATCTTCTTCTGTTTCTTATTAGAGTACATAACATAACAGTTAAATATATCAAATTAATGTAACGTGACTTTCACTTAACTGACATGATTAGCCCGACTCCCAGAGTGCAGTACCCCTTTTCTCCACAACCACAGCCTTTAAATCACAGGGGGCGCTGTTTCCCTCATTTTAAGACAAATATTAAAACGGTTACTACTAAAATATATTTTGTCTTAACATTAATCCTTATATTCAATATTTAAGACATGAAAACAAATTCATACAATCTATTTTATGCTTTGGTTATTAAAAAATAAAAAATACTGAAACCAAAGATATGGCTCTATTTGTCATGTCTACAAAAATAATAATAACATAATGATAATAAAAGGGGGAAAAGTTAAACACAATTTACGACTGAATGTTAATCCAAAGTCTGACTAATTAAGTATATAAATGAGTATTACTGAATCATGTTTCATTTGCCTGTAGTGCAAGGTTTGTCATTTTAACTGAAAGACGACATCATGGCTCTTTGACTGAAGTAGGTTAATCAGGGAATGAATCGTCTCCCGACATGGTTTTGGAGGTGTATGAATATTTTGCTTTGTGTCTGATGTGGTTTCAGAAAAAAATATAACTGAATACTTAAACAATAAACAAATGCACTCAATAGATGAAATCATCTTGACATTATTTAAAGAAATGATCCGCTCAAGGATTTTGTTTTTAGGCTTTTTATTTTTAATTCCTCACTCTGGGACCGTCAGGCTTTAGACATAACCACAGAGAAGCCAGAAAGTACAAACAAACACATTCTTAGTCCATTTCCGTCACCATTGTGAGCGTATTGGGAAATATCCATCACCAAGTCGGGCAGCTGCATGCTGATTGTGATCCTCTAAAGCGTCGGAGTAAATCAGGTTCAAATAGAAAGTATCACAACACTGTGTTGTAGTTACACATGCCACTTTTTTCAAGTGTTTCATGATCTGATCATGTGATCACTTCATTTATAAAGGTCATTATCTCTATTAAGGAAGTAGTACTTTAATTTTTTTTGGGGGGGGGGTTAAAAAAAGGAAAGTGGATAGATTCAGAAAGCTGGGAGAGAGGGATTGGGGAACGACATGCAGGAAAGGATCTAGAGGTCAGATTTGCACGCTTGTACTTTAATTTTTACATTGTTTTTATTTGCTTATATTTTTGTATGCATCCCTGGAGTTTCACTTTCTTTATGTCGAGTGAAAATGTGGTGTAAACATCAGCCAAACCCTCAAACTCTGATCATTTCTGAAACACACCTAAGCACGGTTTTAAGGGGATGGAACAAATGACTTATTCTGCAATTACTTTCCCTCGATAAATAAATATATGAATCATGTGGTCTTGTCCGAATCTCAAACTAACAGGATAACAGGGAAATGCAGCAAATGCATTAAAATGATTGATTGTGTTAGAAACAACCAATAATGATCGAAACTATTATCAAACAATAGAATAATTCCCCCGCTGTGTTCATCATGCACATGTCTCTCTCTCTCTCCTTCTGTTGCAGGCCGTACAACACCATGACTATATGCCTGGAGAAGCTCTCTGACAGGGTAGGCTGTTATTACCCGAACCCAAACATCCAGGACTTCTTCATCCAGATCCACTCGTCCTACTTCCAGAACTGTTCCAACGAGGAGCTCCTGATGGTGGACGCTCCTCAGGGGCTGGTGATCGCCCTCACGCTCATCCCTGTGAGCGTCATCCCCATACTGGTTTATCTGGTGATCTGGAAAAGCAAAGTCCAGGAGTAAACCTCCAATATATATTTTTCGATGACGATATGCTCCACAAGAAAAATGCTGCAGAGTTTTTTTAAAGAAACATTTGATGAGGCCGTCCGGTTTGATGAAACCGACCGACTCTAATGTTTAGGAGCTGTTTATTGCTTTTTATGTGTATTCTGTATTGAAAGAATAGTTCAACATTTGTGTAAATATGTTTATCCGCTCCTTGCTGAATATTTTGACACTTATATCAGCTCTTTAAACCTTACCTCAGATAAAGAAATAAATTACAATCTCAACAAATAACGTCTTTGTCCAAAAGAGAGTTTTAGGAAGTTTGAGGAATAATCTCTCTCCATCTCCTGACCTGTTCTAAAAACACAAAAGTGGGGCGCTGGTGGCTCAGTGGTTAGTGCCTGCACCCCATGTACGGAGGCTGTACTCCAGTTTTGAATAAAAGCTGATGTGGCTCCTTTCCCGCATGTCAGTCTCCACTCTCTCTCTCTCCCTGGTTTCCTCCTCTATCCGCTGTAATCGAGGAGTGGAAGTAAAATAAAAAACATCTTTAAAAAAAGGGCAGCAAGAACAAATCACACACACACACACACACACACACACACACACAAAGCGTGGCGTGTGTCAGTCCTCAAAGGGGGGTGTGTGTGTGGGGGGCGAGCCTTTGTTTTAAGGTTCAGCGAGTCGTCACAGTGTGATGCTGTTTGTTCCTGATGGAGTGTAAATGATGCTGAAGATAAGAAGGAGATGATTCATTAACACAGAGACTGACTCACACATCACAGCCTGTCCTCTGTATGCACTGGAATGAGCTGTGAACACACACACACACACACACACACACACACACACACACACACACACACACACACACAGGTGATTTGCCTTAACCAGGGTGTCCCTCTTCACACCTTTTCAACCCAAAGACACACACTCCATCAGCCTGCAGCTCGTCAACAGGAAGTTCTTTTTACGACTAAAGCTCATAATAACCCCGTCACCTGTCATAAACTCAAACACACAGCCACAGTTACTCTATCTCTTTTAAAAGATGAAACACAAAGAAGAGGGCCATGAGAAGGCGTGCACTGCGACACCAGTTGAGATTAAAAACTATGCGCTGTTATAGACGCAGAGAGGAGATAGAAGCTGTTAAAACAATGATGGTTTGCGTTTCATTTCTCGCCCCGTATCAGCGACGTGTTTGTGGATTCTCCGAGCAGAGAAAGAGCATTGTCTCTCTTATCTTGCAGCCTCTGTTGTTACTTAATGTCCTGCTGGTTAGCAGCATGTTACTGATCCACACTTTAAAGTAGGAGCATTTCACTCTCAGGGAAGTCTTCAGGAAGCCACATTTAAAGGCATTTATCTGTTCAGGTGAGTTATTGTGTTGAAACAGGAAAACCTATTCTGCTTTAAGCCTCTTAGAAGAAAGTGAAGTCTTCTTGCAATTCAACTCTAGAAATCTATGACCCTGGTAGTCTAGCGGTTAGTGTGCATGCCCCATGTACGGAGGCTGTAGTCCTACAAGTGGGACTCTCTCTCTCCTTCTCTCTCTCTCTCTCTCTCCTTCCCTCTCTCTCTCTCTCTCTCTCTCTCTCTCTCTGACTCTATCCACTGTCCTGTCTCTAAAAATAAAGACTTAAAAAGACCATAAATAATCATTTAAAATAAAAATCTAGAGACCTAAAATGATGACATCACCTCATCAACTCATGCACACACATATATACACAATATATTTTTCTGTAACATGCACATGTCCTATCCTGTTTATTGAGTTGTGATCATCTAAGATTTCCACATTCACAGAATAAACTCTTCTTTGTATTCATTCTGCAGCATTGAGTTTAACTGCATTAGTAGAAGTTGTGAGCTGCTTTTTCATTTCATACCCTGATTAAAAATCATTTTCATCATAGTCAAACAACTTCATTGACTTCCTACTGAAGTGTTATTTATATTTTAAAAGAAAGCCACTTCCTTCCTGTCTGACTTCCTGAGTGGGAGGTCTGGTGCTAGGGTCAGAATCACAGAAATATGTAGTTCACCTTTTTTGTGTATTTGGTTATAAATTGCAAAAAACAAAATAGGTTAGAGAACAAACCGTCCTAATGTCCAGAAGAAACTCGGCCATAATGTTTGTGCTTTGGAGTGAAAAATCATTGATTACATACAGGAAGTGAAACAGGGAATAAGCAACACAGAGGTGGACACAGGAGCGGTCTCATTCTCCAGAGGGAGGCTCATTAAATATCATATATCACTTCCTTATTCCCAGTGAAATGATCGAGGAGATGTCTTATTATTTTCTCTCTGCTGTACAAACGTTGTGTTGAGTTTGTTTTAAACATCATGATGAGAGAATCTGTGTGGTGACGTTTTGGCTCCCCCTGTTGGTGTGTAATAATTCTGCAGGTCACATCATCCAAAAACGAGCTCAAGCTGTAAATGTGAGTTTGCTGCAGCACATGTTTAGGACAAGGAGGGCTTCCCCCCAAACCCGGTCTCACCTGGAACACACTTTATGATATTGTTCTGTTTCAAACAGATAATCAACAGTATCAACACCTGTAGTCTCAGAGATGTAAAAGAAGAACACTGCTGCGTCTTTGAATGTCTCATTTCACTTTAACAAACTCTCAGACAGCTCAGCTGACGAGTCCAAAGTCATATCCCCCTTATGACATCACACAGTGACCTTATGACATCACACATTGACCTTATGACATCACACATTGACCTTTGAGCTGTTTGACCTCACTTTGAGATCCCTAACCACTTCCTGTTTCTGTGCTTAACTTCATCCTCACCTCCCGTCTACCTTACCGTCTGCCTTACGTTATTTCAAAATAAAAGCACACAGCAAGTACTCTCATCTTACTGTAAGATTGTACCAAAATTAAAAATAAAAGCTGAACAATTTTTATTTTTAAATGTCAAATAATGGAATTATAATCATGGGATTAAAAATGTGATTTTTACATTTTTTTAAATAGTTTGACCTCCCTCACATATATATAATAAAATACACTGACTGTATCTCTCTCTCTAAAATCCAGCAGCACAACAATGCCTCACAGTGATACCCTCAGTGTCCATTGTGTATTGAGAGATAACGCGCCATCAAAGAGAAACGGCCATTAAGAGAGTATCTCCTCCTATTAGATGTAAAGTAGAGGAGGGGGCTGGGGGGTGAGGGGGGGTCTTTAAAGGGACTGTAGGTTCACACACACACTGTCAGTCATTACTGTAACGTCTTGGAGACAACAATCAGGACACAGAGTTTCTACTCTTAAAGCTTACAGAGTAAGGAGGACACAGAGCGAGGTAAGTCATGACGTCACTTTCTCATCCTGTTTGGATTCTTTAGATCTGAAAATGAAGAATGTGGAGGATTTAATTTATATAAGACCATGTGTAAAAGCTCTCATTATATTTAAAGGTTATTAAGTACAAGAATAGGTAATGCATGTGGAATCTAAAAAAGATAAAAGAGAGAGTTCTCCTTACAGAGTGTTTTATTCAGTATCAGAAGAAAAAAAAATTCAAACTCTGAACAAAATAAATCTTTTTTAGATCCATGAAGTGAAGCACAGCCGGTATACTGCTAGGTGCTTTAATCTACAACAAGGTGCCTTTAGTTTTTAACATGGTCTTGTGTTTTTTAATGAATTAAGAGAAGTAAAAAACACTATTTTTAATTGATTTAGAATAACAAGTAATACAGCAATCAACTAAAACTCTAGATTGTGCTTAAGTGTCCGATATGAGATTTTTTTTGAGGCCGATACTGATAAAATAATCTGATACCGATACATCTGCCGGTATCTTTCTTAGATCTCTGTTCGAGCTTTAGAGATAAATAGTTTCAGTTATACATTTTTATTGCATTAGTTGTCAAACAGTTTGTGATGGAGTGATGATGCTTGTTGTAATCCTTATAGTGCGATCATTCTGTGCAGGTAAAATGGTCGGTCATCATTTGCTCCCCCGGATTAATCATCGGACCTCTGGATCGAACTCAGTGACTTCAGCCAAGCAGGAGCAGGACATGTGTGAGTGGACGTTACAATACGAGGTTTATAACACATTAAATAGCTGCTAGGATAGATTATCTATATCAACTGCTGCACCATAAAATAATGTATCGTTATAAATCATAAACAAAAGGTCCAATCAATGTAGAGAGTGAAATAATAAAGTGACCTTACTATCTGATCATTAAGGAAACATGCTATGTTGAAGTGCTGGCTTCTCTGACAACAATGCAGCAGCCAGTATGTCCTCCTTCTAACTTTAGATTCTGCTCCTGAATGCTCTGGATTTGTTTGGACCAGAGAAGGTAGGCGCTTTTAAGACACGCCCCCACACGGCCGTTTTGGACGCCCCTCGGTTTGCCAGATATGAGAGCAGTTATCAGGTCAACAGGTGTTGCAGCGATGGAAGCGGTCAAGAGAAGTGGTTCAGATAGAAGTGATTGTACCCGACCTAAAAAGCCTCTGCATGTTTCTAATAAGCTCCACGAGCAGAAACGTGCTCAAACTAGGATCAATATTGGAGATGTTTTTGAAAAATGGAGAGAGGTTAGAACACAGAAAGGTTTACAGACCCATGCAGAGCTGGATAAACACTGAAGCTTCAGAGTCCACCACATGGTGACCTGTGTGAGCATCCACTCTAGAGAGGAGGGGGGGGGGAGAGACAGCGCTCTACAATGTTTAGAATTTTGACTGCAGTACCCATTTTAAACACCAGGTGTCATAGTTACAAATTGCTCCTTTAAATCAGATTTAAATTCTCTTGTTTAAATAAACACATTTTTGACATTTTATTGGATTAAGAGATACTTTGAATTTCTTCTGCTAAGGGATAATCCACACATATGAATTCATCAGTATTACAATATGTCACATAATGATTGTTTGTTGTGTGTGTTCCTTTTTTTTTAGCTGCAACCTGTTTCCGCACGGGGAAAAAAACGTCCTGCCCCCTGTTCTGTCGGACGGCCACGCTCTCAACACTCTGCCTGTCTCTGTTTGTGACCTGCGTCGCACTTTCTGTTTTGTGTAAGTACAAGTTACCGACAGAAGCTCAACATGGCTGTGCTGTTGAAAGGAAAGTCCCCTTTCCAATTTCTTAATTTTGGAGTTTTAAGCCTTTGAGGCAGGGGCAGTTTGGATAGATTTGGAAACCAGGGAGAGAGAGAGAGAGCGTGGGGAATCACACGCTGGGAAAAGATCTGCAGGTTCGACCTGTTTGAGGAAGGCCTCCGTACACATGCACATCTTAACCACTAGATGATCAGTGCCCCTTCTTTGAACATTTTAACACAGTGTTTCTGGAGCTGCATGTCGTCCCCACAATCACCACCGTCCTCATTCATGCACGGCCCGCTCCGACCTCTACCTCAGGAATACAAAGAAGAAATCCTGCATCTTATCCCATCTCCCCCTGTCCCATTTTCTTTAAGGTCTTTACCTGCTCTTTTGTAAAGCATCTCAAGATAATAACAATAATAATCTTTATTTATAGAGCAATTTTCAAAAAACAAGTTACAAAGTGCTTTACAAGGACAGCAAATATAAAAAGTGGCAGGTCATAGAATAATTAACAAGGCAAGATTAAGGAATAAAAATCACTTTAAGATATAAAATCCCATTTTAAAAGAACTGTAAAATACAAACAATTCTTTTAAAGGAATTCTTAAAAGTGAAAATAGTAACAATTTAAAATCAACAAAAATCTTAAGAAGGGACGTAAAAGAGATGACACTTATACAAAGAATGACTGACTGATTGAGTCTGCAGCTTCACCTCTAACTGTAATGTTTCTTTTTGAAGTCCTCTGCTGGAGTTACACACACAGACATGCTCCTGTTCTCATTTGTTCTTATTTCAGATAACGGGGAGTCAGACAGCAAGCCAGACCGGAAAAGCCTCCTCTTTGAGTACCAGAACATCAGCGAGAGTCACCACTCTCTCACTGAAGCCAACACTGAACTGACAAAAGAAAAAGATGTTTTGAAGGAGCAGAACAAACTCCTCAACAGGACTTCACACAAACTTCTCTCCGTCAATCGAGCTCTGAGTTCTGAAAGAACCGAGTTAACCGAGAAGATTTCTAATTTGACTTCTGCAAATCTACAACTCACAGAAGAGCAGGAGCGAATGGTCCAGTTCACAGCGGAGCAGGAGGAGAAGGAGCTGAACATGTCTGAGACCATCAGACGCCTGGACGCCTCCGTCAGCCAGAGAGAGGAGGAGAAACAGCGAGCGTCTGAGACGGTTGACCTCCTGAGGGACGAGCTGATTCAGGTGAAGGAGAAGAATCAGGAACTGGTGGAAGTCAACGACGAGCTTCAAGGAGAGGTTCGAAATCTGAATGAGAGTTTAGCAGCTTTGACGGGTGAGGACTGTGAGGAGCACAACGCGCAGCTTCAGGAGAGAGTGACAGAGCTGCAGGAGCAGAAGCAGAACCTGAGCAGCGTGTTGATGAAGGAGAGGCGGGAAGCGGCGGAGCGAGAGGAGAGCGTGAGGAACGAGGTGAATCGAACGGCGGCAATGCGGGAGGCCTACCACGCCCTGGACCTCTACTGCCCCGTGGTCAATCACAGGACTAAAGGTACAAATCTAAGTCAGTCTTTCCAGGAAGTTTTTCACAGCCTTGAAACTTCTCTGAAAACTTGACCAATCACCTCGTGTCCTCCAAAGGGTTTAAACATGATTCAGTTGCTTTCGACTTTAAATTGGAATTGTTGTTGCTCTATGACTTAATAAAGTGTTCTTCTTTATAATCCACAGAACGAAATTGCAAAAGATGTCCGGAGAGTTGGAGACTCTTTAAGAACAAGTGTTACTTCTTCTCCTCCCGCACGCTCACCTGGAGCTCCAGCAGAGCCTGGTGCCAGACGCAAGGGGGCGACCTACTCGTCATCGACAGCGACCCTGAACAGGTTGGTGGGTTAAAACAGAAAGAAAACATGAAACTCTTATACCACGTTAGGCAGAAAACACTTGCTATATGAATCATCTCTGTGTCTTTTTTAGATGTTTATCTTTGAGAGCAGCCAGGCTCTGCAGCAGAGCGGCTCCAAGCTGTGGATTGGGATGACGGACGCAGACGTGGAGGGGGAATGGAGCTGGGTGGACGGCAGTTCGGTTACTGCAAACAGACAGTAAGTCAAAGAACAAGGACAATATTAAGAAAAATAATAATGCATTAGACTTTTTTAAGTACTCAAAGATGCTTAACAAAGAACAACAACAAAACAGAACAACAAAGAAATAATGGAGAAGGAGGATGAGAACAGCGTTTGTTAGTGGTTGTAGGCAATGTGATTTTTTAGGGGTCTCTTGAAGGTGAAGAATGGGGGGGGGTCTGTGATGGTTTTTGGGAGTGAGTTCTAGAGGGTGGGAGCTGTAATGGAGAGGGCCCCTGCCCCCCCTCTGCAGGACCAATGGTTGATCGCGACAGGTCATCGATATGTTTGTTTTTCCTACTGTCTTTATAAAAATTTTCAAATTTTGTGTTGCTGCTTCGGTTCAAGGTTTGTGAGCCCTCTGGGGCCCCCTACTGGTCTGGGCCCCCTACTGGTCTGGGCCCCCTACTGGTCTGGGCCCCCGAGCAGTTGCCTGCCTTGCCTGTTGACAAGCAGCACCCTGTGTGACAACTTCTCTCTAACCTTCTCTAAATGTACATTTACTTACTCGCGCCAACTGGATCAACAAAACTGGATTGTAAAATGATTTAATCATTAAGCAAATTTAAGGAAATTCTCTTAATGGGGCGGCGGTAACTCAGTCTGTAAGGACTCGGGTTGGGAACCGGAGGGTTTCCGTTTCAAGTCTGGAAGTTGGTCTGGTAGCTGGAGAGGTGCAGCTCACTTCCTGAGCGCTGCCGAGGTGAGGTGGCCTTGAGCAAGGCACCGAAGGACAAATGTGTCTCTTGCTTTAGTAACTCTGAATGAACATAAAGTAAGGATGATGTAACCAACCTGCTCCTTCTGTTTCCCTCCAGGTACTGGCTGAGCAGACCAGGAATCGGGACTGAGCCTGACGACTGGAGGCAGGAAGACCCTTTAGGAGAAGACTGCGGACACATCGACACCAGTGAAAACGCGCTCACATCGTGGATGGATGGCTCCTGTAAGAAACCTTACGGATGGATCTGTGAAAAGGAAGTGTAGGATGACCGAGAACATTTTTTTTAATATCTCATTTCATTTTGTAAATAAAGAAATATGAAGTTATTTTGAAGTTTTTCCTGCTGATGTAGCATACTTCAGTATCCATTAGCTAAATCGGTTGTTGGGGGTCGTGGGGGGGCTGGAGCCAATCCCAGCTGTCATTGGGTTAGAGGCGGGGTTACACAGGGCTGACAACCAGCCACACTCACATTCACACCTATGGAAAATTTAGAGTCACCAGTTAACCTAACGAGCATGAGCATGTCGAGCATGTCTTTGGACTGTGGGAGGAAGATGAGACGGGAGCACGAGGAGAACATGCAGACTCCACACAGAGAGACTCCTGACAGACGGAGATTCAAACCAGGAACCTCCTCGCTGTGAGGCAACAGCACTAACCACTACACCACCATGTAGCCCACAAACTATAGGTATTTGTCAGTTAATAATTCATCGATGGGATGTTTAAAATGTGTCATAGAACATGTTATTGGAGATCTTCAGTCAGATCGTTGCTGTTTTTCTGGAAATAAACAATATCTGCCAAAAATGTGTCCTGAAGTATTTCTTTATCCATATAAAAAACAACTTTGTCGGACTACATTCTTGGTACAGTACAAAACAATGGTGCAACATTTATTTAAACATGTTGATCTTCACATTAAAAAAGACAAGACGTATAAATGTGTTTATTTTTCATCTTTTAAAATGTCATTAGGACATTTTAAAACTTTTAAATTAATGTAAACTAAAATGCATGATTCGCTGTCACAGTGGTGGAAATAAGAACAGACAGACAGTTAAAAAAAAATCATAGTATTGACTAACTTTGATCATTTGGTGTATGTGTTAGAGTACAGTATGTGTTGATTGTGTGTGAAATTTATTCATAGTGCCAACCACATGGAACAACAAAAACAATTCAATAGCTGTTGAGCTATTTAAGTTGGGGAACCTTAAAGGAAGAATGTGCAACTTTTTGATCCAGTAGATGTCGCCCTTGAGCACCAGCATGAAACCAAAACAAACTGCTGTTTGGCCACACCTCCTCCATCCTGAAGCCTCCGCTCTCCTCCAGAGACACACCTCCAACCCCCTCTCCTCTCACGATTGCACGAAGGAGTTTAGCGCAAGCGGAAGACAAAATTGTCCTTGCCTTGAGCTGCATTGTTGTGTTAGCATGCTAATGTTAGCGCTCTTTAGTTAGCTCGTAGCTTCACATTTCATGTAAACTGACACAGAATGAGCGTGATCTAAAAACTCTTACTAACATCCAAATAATCAGTGAGTATGTTCTTCTTCTTCTCTCTAGTTCTTGACTAAAACAGCTTTTATACACAAGGGGAGGAGCCGGCCGTCCCGTCCATGTAAACACGGCTCTGACAACAACACAGCCAGCGGGACTCGAGCTTCTCACTCATTGTAGACAGTCATGACTCAGAGACACATTTACACAGGACAGACTTTATGATTTATTTATGTGGAACATGTCGCACATTCTTCCTTTAAGGTTCATAACTGACCTCTTAACTAAACGGCCAACACTTCCCTGGAGCAAAGCTGCTACCACGCCTAAGACTATAAATCATGGACGGCTCTATACTATAAAATGGCATGTTGATTTGAAGTCTTTTGGCGTGCAGAGTCAGTAACTACTCCTGCTTTGGTTTTCTGCTCCTGCAGAGTCTGAGGCAAAGGAACCGTATTGTTCCCACCACAGCGGCTGTAAAAATCAACAAGATTGCCACTAAAAAGCCCACGACATCCACAGAGTAGTAAGCATACCAAGGCATCTTATAAGACTCAGTGCGTAAATGTGAAGCTCCTTTGTGCCTGATAACAAACTCGATCCAGTAAATGGCGGTTTCCAGAGGATGCATTGGCGTGTCCCGATGGAGAGAAGAGAGGCGTTTCATATTATTTCTGTAAGACGGATTGTGAAGAACTTCTTGTATCGTTTCTAGAAAGTCCTGGCTTGTGAGTTTGGATGCATCCAGAGACTTGGCGGCTCCTCGTGCCTCTAATCTCAAAATGTTCTCGAACTGGTCGAACAGAAGCGGTATGCCTATGATTGGTACGCCGTGGTAGATGGCCTCATAGACTCCATTGGTGCCACCATGGGCCACAAAGGCTCTGGCCTTTGGGTGACCCAAGAGATCATTCTGGGGCATCCACTTCACCAGCAGGGTGTTGTTGCCCAAAGTTTTTGGTGGTTCACCAACATGTCTCCATATGACCTTTTGAGGAATTTGGGCAAAAGCAGCTGCAATTTCAGAAGTGATTTCTATGGGTAGACCTTTCACCAGTGTGCCAAGAGACATGACGATGAATCCGTGCTCTCCTGAACTTAGCACAAACTCCTCCAGCTCTGACGACAAAGCCTGAGAAGGCTTACACTGAAAGCCGCCGATGTAGGCGATGTTTGGCATGGTGGGTCTCGGGAATTCAAAGACAAAGTCCACCCTCATGAGCCACATGTCCGCGCCTTGGAGAAGGTGATAGAAGTTCACATCAGGACCAAAGTATCTGACTGCCAGTCTATCATAGTGAGGGCATACCACAAATGTGTCAATGCATGTGTTGAGGAGATAGAACAACAAGTTCTGGACTCTTTCTGAAAAGGTCATGTCGGTAGACGCGGCATATCCTGCAGTTGGAACGTAGGACGTTGGAGACGGAGCCACCACAAAATGTCCCTCTCCACTGGTGATCCATCGCACATTAAAAACAGTTGGCAGCTTCAGTTCATGAGCCACAAGAACTCCAACAGGCAAACCTGGGTCAATAAGAACCATGTCAAACTGAGTGTCCCGAATACTCTGCAGTAGAGTCTTGTTCTCAAGTATTTCTACCCCCACCAGGCTGGCTTGTTTGTGGATATCTGACAGTGCACTCAACATTTCCCAGTAGAAGTTAATAAAGGCTATAGGCGACGACCCTGCTTTCTTAATCTCCAGCATCTTGACCAGAAAGCTAACAAAGAAGTCCTCCTCCTCTATGACGATGGCGGCCGGTAGGGGGATGGTGATGGAACGGTAATGTGGAGCGTTCTCTTTGACGTACCAGCTGGTGGACGTGCGCACCACAGTGACCTCGTGGCCTCTTGTGTGGAGGTTCTGGATCAGCAGGTTCATGTTGACCCAGTGGCTGCCGTCAACCGGGAACACCAGAATCTTCCCGCCCTGAACGCTGGGACAAGTCAGGAGGGAAACGCTCAGAATTAGAAGCAAGGCTGAAAGTCCTGGAATGCACCCCATGGTTACAGCCTGTGGAAAATAAACAAACAAATATGGATAACTTTAAATTATGCTGAAATCAATTGGTAATAGAAATTTAAAAAAAGAACATGGACTAAAACACCACTACAGACACTCAGGCCGCGTGTCCATCTAGCATTTTTTCCGGGCCGAAAAGCGCTGGCTGTGCGCTCTGACGCTCTTGCATGAAGCGTTTGCACGTTGCATGTTCTGTCCTGTCTCTATGGCAACAGTCTGTTGACAATGGCCGCTGTATGACCAACACTGCTCCGTTACTTTTTACTTTAATGGTTTTCATTTTAGATCGTTTCATTTCCCGATCCCAAAACTTCAGAGTATTTCATACATTTGGATAAGAAGGCCGGTGACGTCAAAAACCTTTCTGAAAAGTTATATATTATACATATTTTCAACTTGAGCGCTCGAAGCGGCTGGACAAAAAAAGGCAGAGCTCTTGGAAGAACGACGCTGGGCGCTTTCTGCTGCTGTGAACGCTCTCTCTTCATTGAAAACTATTTTTAAAAGACGCTGGCGCCCAGACAAAAAAACACTAGATGGACATAGGGCCTAAGGCTGTAGCTACATATTGTTAGGAACTTTTCTGATTTTACATGTTCACATCAGAATGCTTTAAATAAAAAGCTATGTCAAGAAATATTCTCAGACAATATGAGAACAAATCAGCACAAAAGCAATAAGACTAACCAAATGTAGAGTATCCTTCAACTTTATTAAACATTTTCTCGTAGCCAACACAAAGATAAAGCAATAAAGGCAAGTCAATAATTGACTAAACTCAATCACAAAAGTTTATCTCTTTGTTTAGCCGCAAGCAAAAGTTTTCAAATCTCCATTTTGGATTTGATTTGAATACTAACAAAACTTTATGTTGGATATCTTTTGTGTTGCTAGCAGCATGACTGAGTGCAGGAATATTGAGCACTGTTAGCACTGAATCTTTCTCTGGATGTTTGCAAAAAAAAGAAAATGTCTATAACTGTGTGACATTTTAATCTTCTCCTCACAAGGTCAACCGTCAAAAGGGCCTGAACCGGCTACATTTATTTGTAGGATGTGCCCAGGGGCTGCGCAATATGCCAGTATGTTACTGCTGCAGGAAGGTGTTCTTATGTACATGTGGAAATGTTTTGTATGATCTCTATTCATGTATTTAATTGTTTTATTCTTTTGTAATTGCAGGACAGAGGCAAGGAAAAATGTCCCTTTGAAAACAATAAAATATATTGTATCTTATCAGACAGTGAATATTTATTTGGTAAACAAGCAGGTGGATCCAGTTTCTGAATGATTAGAAGCTCTGCAGAAGAGAGAGAAAAGCGAGGTTTCCCGACATTGTTTGCATTACAATAAATACTATTCACTTCTCTTCATTCTCACTGCTGAAACGATCCAAGAAGAAGCAAACAAAAGAGAAGCAAAATTAAAGTTCAGCTCTTGCTTTTTGCCATTCTTCAGAGCCTCGTTCTTATAACTATGACTTGTTTAGTTCATTTTCTTCATGGTTTATTCTGCAAACAGAGGGACGCAAACGAGTATCATAAGTGATCAAAAAGTTTTCTTAACAGATCAAAGTCCAGAGAAATTAAATCACAGACTGAGCCTGGTGGTTTTATGCTTTTTAAATCCCCTCATCTGTGTTCAGAAGGGACTCCTCCATAGACCCACAACACTCAGCAGAGTCTCTAATCATAACATGCCGGAGGAAACGTGCCCTGGAGTGTCAGATTTCCTCCCTGCATGTCTGTTGTTCGGAGTTAAAAAAGGGGGAATCTAACTTTATGCACTGTTGAATATGGATCAGCCACAAGATTCCTGCACAAGTTAGTGTCAACAAATCAGAGTCTCTTCTTTCCCTGCAAAGGCGTGCAAGCGTTTCAGAAATGAGGAGAGCTGCAATTTACCTTAAATCTCTGCATCAGTGGAGAAATGTGAAGACCAGCGCCTGAATGCACCAGAATTTAAACTGCAAACCTGATTACTGTGTTACATAAGGAAGTGAGGTTAGCGGGGGGGAGGGGGCTCAACAAGTGGACTTTAGATGTATGCGTGTATTTTGAAAGGGGAGGAGAGAGAAACTGTTTTCTGACAGAGCCCGCCCCTGTCTCTGTGCTGCATTCACACTTAGAAAGGACCACACACACAAACACACACACATGCACACACACACACACACACACACACACACACACACACAAACACACACACGCACACACACACGCACACACACACACACACACACACACAGTGATGTAACACAATATTTTCCCAAAACATTTTTTTTGTGTAAATCATAGAGCCTGCTGTGGTCTGTTTAGAAAAGGGAAGTTCCAAGACCCTGAGTACTAAAACATGTTTGATTCTTTGATCCAGTTTTTTTTATGAAGTTGAGTATTTGGTTGTTGTTGTTTTTTGTGGCAGTTTGAGACTTGCATACATCCTGTGAACACAACAGCAAGACAATGATTGACCCTAAAGTTGTAAGAGAAAACAGTGGGCTTCTAAAAACAGCTCTCTCAGAACGCTCCGTTTTGGTGTGTGTGTGTCTTTAAATGTAATGAGCCCCTCCTGAGTTTTCATGGTGGACATCACTCCTCTGTAGAGAGAATAAAAATGGCAGACCTGCGTTAAAGTTTTGTTCTAGGCGAGGCGGAGGGGATTATATTGTTTTTACCAGAATCCCACTGTGACATCACAAGGAGAGCACATTTAAAACAGATATTTTTTTCTGTGTTATAAGACTTATGCAGACCACAAACAAAGGACTGGATGGGTTTATTTCACATGTTGTGGGTCAGTAGACTCTCAGGTTACCTAAATATATGTTCAGAGACATTGTAGAAGTTGATTTTTCAGAATATGTCCCCTTTAAGCAGGAACAACACACGCACTCACACTAGGCAAAGTTGTCCCGTACCTTGCTTAAGCACAATTATCCCCCCTCCCCATTCCCCCGCTGGTCTGCAGTCACACTGCCTGCTCCATAGTAGCAGCTAAACCTCTGGAGTCTGTCTTTCATAACCTGCATGATGGAGTCAGGAGAAAGCTGCTGAGAAGTATCAGGAGAAAGAATGTAAACAAGCAGAGGGCGTGTTGTGTATGATAGTGTTTGACTTTGAGTCCACTGAACAACTTCAAATTAAACCAGATATCTGATTAAGATTCCTTACTCCTTACACAAGGCAATCCGTACTGTGCCCAAGACCGTCTGACCCCACAAAGTCCTGTTGGTCTGACCAGTGTGAATGCTCAGTACCGTGCACTTCCTCGGCCCCGGCACGGGAACACAATGTGGTTATGAAGTTTAATCCTCTAATCTACCAGGAAAATAGCTTAATTCAGACTTGATTTGCAAAAAATCAAACTGATTCATGACTTGTCCGATGTAGAATAAAATCAACCATGGGGGGCGTGATTTAAGGTGTTTCTGCCTTTTACTGACAAGTTAGAAGAAGTTTACAATTTGACCTGTTTTTAAACACTGAGCTCATTTGGCTCCAAAGAAACAAAATGGTGAATGCAAGAATTCAAAACTTGAGGCTTTAAAAACAGTGTAGTCCACAATCCAACGCTCGACTTAATCGACGACTGCGATGAAATAAAGATACTTTTGCTTCTCAGTAGATCAATGTGTAACAACAAAACTGATTTACATTATCAGAGCTAGTGAGGGGAAGGTTGTGTTTTATGAATTTAACTTTCTTTTAAGGAAGATTTTGAATCTGAAATGAAACCTAAAGAAATTAAAAAAGCCTTTTCAGCGGTTTCTTTTCTTTAAAAAAGACAGACAACTTCTGCTTTCACAAAGACGTCATGTGTCACTGAAAAGGGGAAGAGCTCTCGTCGATGAGTCCACTGCATTTCACACAGAGAGTCTGCATGAAGCTGTGAGACGGCTGGATTTCACCAGCGACGGTCACATATCAAGATGTCTCGTTGCTGTGCCGTGGCTGTCCTCGTACTCGTCCTCGCTGGAGGATGGCGCCCTTGTGGAGCAGATGTTGGGGATTTTGCTCCATGCCTGCAGTTTTTCTACAAGTCCTGGCCTCCCAAAGGTCTGTCCGGGACCCCAATCTGCCAACGTTATGAGAACCAGTACCGCTACGCCACATTGTACAGTCGACCCCGCCGCTCCCCGTGGTTCTCTGGATATTTGTACGCCGTTCCAGCAGGAAAGAGACCGACTGCATCGTGGAAGTTTGAGCCACAGGTGAGGATGTTTAAAAAGTGTGATTCACGTCCTTCAAATGTTCAGAAGGACCATTTTATTTACGTTTTACCAACGAGTTTGACTTGTTCTCTAAGTTCCAGCGTATAGTCACATAGTGTTTGACCTTCTCAAAGTGCAGAAGCAGCAAATAATAAAATGCAAAAGCGAGCCTCTGTTCATGGTCTTTCAACACGATATAAACACGATGAGAAGAATCCTGTGCAGTTCAATTTCAGTTCCTCTTGCAATAAAATGTTATGTGAGCAAACCCTAATGTTAGCTAGCTATAGGCAGGGCTGGCTCTAGCCTTTTTTAGCTTCCTAAGCAAGATGATGATTAGCCCGAGGGTCAACATGTTCATACACAACCCTTAGTAAAATGGTCGTTTTGACAGCGGAAATTAAAGCAATTTTTTCACACTTAAATGTAGAAATCAAGTATATCCTCTGAAAATAACTCTGTGAGTCATGACTGTCTACAATGGGTGTAACACCCGAGTCCCACTGTCTGTGATGTTTTCAGAGTTTTCAGAGTCCTATCTTCACTTTGTTTACATCGCCTGGACGGCCGGCTGACTCCTCCCCTCGTGTATAAAAGTTGTTTAATTGAGGGACTAGAGAAAAGAAGAATAACATACTGTACTCACTGCTTAACTGTGTTTCTAGATCACGCTCATTTCAGGTAAATTTACATGCAGTGTGAAGATACCAGCATAATAAAGATCGCTAGCATTAGCATGCTAACACAACAATGCAGCGTGAGTTGTTTTGGTTTCATGCTGGAGCTCAAGGGCGACATCTGCTGGATCAAAAAAAAATCACATATAAAGCCTTTAAACATGTTTACAGCTTGGTACAAAAAACATTTTGGTCTGATTAGTTAACGTCTTTGTCGGCACACTGTACACCGGGTGAATTGTTTTGTAACTCACTTGTTTTGAGTTTTTTTATGAAGGAGAAGAGTTATGCATAATTAGGGGGTCGTGATGGATCTAACTGCAAGCTACTGTGTTGTAGCAGTTTGTCAGAAGTCTTAAGGCCTGCCCGCCTGCCCCATCTCCAGCATCTTGCATGTTGTTTGGTCAAAATATAACATGAATCAAGCACCAGAGGAGGTTTGTGACCCTGTATAAACCAGCTCTCTCAGAACGCTCCGTTTTGGTGTGTGTGTCTCTTTAAATGCAATGACCCCCCCTGAGTTTTCCTGGTAGACATCTCTCCTTCGTTGCTTTAGGCCGGGGTTGGAGTCCATGGGTGGATAGAGAACTTCCAGAGCAGCCCTTCAGAAACCAATGAGTGACGTCACTCAGGCGTCGTCCATTTTTATTTACAGTCTTTAGGTTAGTCCTACAGGAAAGTCTGCAGAAAGCTCATTCACAGAAAGTGCACAATTTGCCATTAAAAATTCAGCAAATCAGAGCCCTCATGCACTACTCAATTACACAGCGGGACAGCGCTAAGCACTCACACACATCCTGAGATGATGGCAGAGAAAAATGGCCGCCATGTGATAAATGGTCAATATTGAACATCAGCATGTTTGCAGGTTGTTTGTGTTTGTTAGCGTCCTGACTTTGGCCTATAACTAAGTCTTCTTTATGCTGAAGTTAAGAGATCTGTTAGCATGGTTCTAGACTGTTTTGGGTTTCCACAGAACTTGTAGTTTCAGCCACTTATTTCATTTAATAAATCTTCCTTTATTAGAGCAGTAGAAAACACGATCTCTTGTTTTTACCTTCCAATAAACAGTTAGCTTACCCCGGAGCTGATGGCAACATGATCCCGTTCCCTCCGGGCCCTCTGGACCAGAACGTGGTGGAAAGCCAGGCCGTGGAGCCGGACTACATTAACTCCACCTTCTCTCGAGGCCACCTGAACCCCAGCCTTCACCACCACAGCCGCGAGGACCGCTACGCCACGTTCACCCTCACTAACGTGGTCCCCCAGAAGGCCGGCTCCAACGACGGGCCCTGGGAACTCCTGGAGCAGAACGTCAACAACACCCTGGAGGCCTACTGTCTCGGAGAAGCTTACATAGTCACCGGAATCATCCCGTACCAGAACGACGACCGCTGGCTCAAGAATCATCGCGTGGCTTTGCCGGAGTACATGTGGTCGGCCTACTGCTGCTCGAGATTCAACAGCAGCCTCCCGGAGGAACTGAAGGAGACGTTCCCCACGTTTGCTGCCATCGGACGAAACGACCGCAACAGCACCGAGGAGATCGTGCCTGTCGACCAAACGGCCAAAAAACAGTTCAGAGGATACGATGTGAGACGGATGCCACTGGAAACACTGGAGCTGTATCTGAAGGAGCGGTTCAATACTGTGGTCAACGTTTTTTATGAGCAGTGCTCCGGATCAAACTGATGCTGCAGATAGTGTAGTTAGCTTGTAGCATAACGTTAGCTTTTTACTTCTGTCGGCCGCATTAACTCTTCAAACATCATAAAGATGGCGTTCATCTGTGAAGATTATCCTGCTTCACAAACGTGCGTTTGCCACAGAGCTTATTTTCTGCAATGATCCAAAATCCAATGAAAACATCCCAGAGGAGGATTCTGGTTAGACCCCATGGAGATGATACTTCTGGGTTGGCCTACAAAAACACGTCATATGGTTTGTTCTCTATATGAACACTAAGGTTTTCACAATCCCAGAATCTTAACTTCAAAGTCAAAGTCAAAGTCAAAGTCAACTTTATTGTCAATTTCAAAATATGCCAGACATACAGTGGAATCGAAATTTCGTTTGTCTCCGTCCCGCGGTGCAATACAACCAGAATAAGGTAAAATAAGATAAGGTAAAAATAGATAAATAAAATGAGGTAAAAATAAGATAAATAATATTTACAGTAATAAATTCTAAATTGTGCAAAAGGTAGTAAATAAAATACAATAAAATAAAATAATTGTATTAAAATATAAAGAAAAAGTGAACTTGTGCAGTATGTGCAATGTGCAGTAAACTGAGTGTACAGAGTTTTTAGTCCAGAGTTCTTGGTGGAAAACGGGAGGGGGTTTCAACGTCCAGTGTTCATGGGGGCAGAGGGGAGGGAAGGAAGAGAGGGAAGAGAACTTTGATATGATTCGAGTAAAAATCAAATTTTACTGATAATTGTTTCAATACAACAGCTACAAAAGTCCAAGGTGACCATTATTGAGTAATTGAGTAATTTCTTGCGACCAACAAATGAAAGCAGCTCCTGCACAAACACTGGAAACTTTTCAGTACCGACATGTTACCAATGTGTTTGTGCAAAGATTTGACTGGCTTTGTGTTTCTATAGGCTCAAATGATTCACCATGACTAATCAGGCAACCAAATCTTTATTGATCTGCTTATACACCAAGTAGCAGCTTTCCTAACACAAGACACTATAACATGTTAAGGTGTAGCACGTTAGCTAACAGCATCAGCGAGTTAGCCTATCTGTTAGGATACAGCCAACAACCAGTTCTTGTTTTTTTTGTCTCAAATGGCTAAATGTAAGATACAACATTATGAATCCAGGAAGAAATTCTAGTGCTAGATTTCTCCAAAAATTATACTTCAAGCATCCATTATCACTACAGTTTACCAGTTCAGGGTCGAGCCAATCCCAGCTGTCATAGAGATAGAGAGAGAGAGAGCGGGGACTGCTTCATAATGATAGCAAATATTCAACCTAACTGCAGAGGGTCATGATGAAAAAGGACACATTAATTTTTTCGCATGAAACTTCAAGTAAAAGTAAATATAGCACATGGAATGAATAAACCTAAAAGATTATTGTAGTGGCATCTTAACTCAAACAAAAATCCTCTTGTCACTTCTTGCAGGACTAGAATTTTCTGACATTTTTAAGTAATCCAAAGATGAAAGGAGGCAGATTTAAAGTGACAAAAAAAGAAGATTTATTCCTCAAAAAAGGTATTGCAGGTTAAAAAATAAGATCTTATAAATATCACGCGTTTACGAAAAGAAAGCCTCTCAGATTTGACTAAAAACTAAAACCGTGTCGGTCAGAAAACTGGTGCTCCTCGTCTTCTCGTCTGAGTATTTATTCACCTGTACTCCACATGGCAATTTACGCCAATTAGCTGCGCTTTACGACAGCAGGAACACTTTGCAGCAGCACTTATAAACACACAGACCTATGACAAACACACAATGTTTCAATACGTGATAAATATAAAACATTTAAATTAATTATAAAATTCAAAAGCAAAAACTCGTATTAATTATAAACATATAAATACAAAATTATACTAATGGGCAAATTATATTTTTATATTAACCTGTAGTCCTCTATGGCTCTAACAATTATTGCTCAGGGCCCCTGAAAATGATTATGGATGTAACACAGCGCTGTTTTAATAAAGTTGTGTTGCACGAGATGAAAAGTCATGCTCCTTTTTTCCTGCTGCAGAAAACGACCTAACTCAAATCTTATCAAGTGAACTCATCTAATTATTCGTCAAAACTTTGACTACTTCTTCAGAGCATTGAAATCAGATACACTATAATATCTATTGGTATATCTCAATTCTAGACACTTCAGAAGTAACATTCACTTGCAACAAATTTTTTATTACAAACAGTTCATGCCTTAGTTTTAAAATAGGATCTTTATCTGGATGTGTCAGGTGACAGTAGCTCATATTCAGAGTAATGAGAGATCACGGTACGATTTGAGTCTTGGCAGTGAACTGAGAGGCAATGTGTGAAAAATACTTATTCCATGCAGTACCTTCTTTTGAACACCAGGTGGCAACCGTGTGCAATAAAAGTTGTTGAATAGCTGTTTCAGTGTCAGCCTCTGTTTGCTGCATGACGCCCGTTTAAGAGATCAACCAGAGAGTTTTGTCTTTTTAAAAAGTGTCTGTGCAAAGTGTCTGTGCAGGTTCTTACATCATCCAGGTCATGGGGAAATTGGAAGCCGGATCCAAACTCGTTCAGAAACAAAAGGAGCCGAGAGGTGAAGCGTCTTTAAGATCTTCAACCGAGCCCAGTCTGGCTGTTACAATTTCATCAGACATCACACCCAATTTGTGGTTTACAGTAGAAAAAACATACAGGTTAAAACCAGATGACTCATTGAGACTAACGCTTACTCGCTCTACTCGTTGGACTCGACTACCCTGAGAGAGAACTTTTTAATGAACACTGACACAATGTATGTTTTCTATCAGACGTGATTTATTGCATGAACAGATGGTACAGGAGAAGAGTTGTGCATTTCCTAATTTGATTATTTTGCTGATGAACGACCGGCTCAGTAAGGGCCTTGACTCATCGGGGGATTGAACAGCTTGTCCCATATCTCTACCTTCATAATGGACCGGCCCAAAGGGGACATGGTTGCCATGACATCCAAGCACCTGCCCTGAAAGGTGAGGCCAGAGCCCGAGGCCTCGGCCCGCAGAAAGCCCTGCTGCTCCTTGTTGTAGTACATCTCTTTGAACAGCTTCTCGTTGACCTCTTTGTCGGTGCCGTAGATCGCCAGGCCGAACCAGTTCTTGTACATGCTGTTGTCGTACGGCACGGAGAACATCAGGACCAGTCTGTCCGTCACCCTGTTGCTCGACTTCTCCAGCAGGTCGTAGCTCAGGAGCCCCACGGCGCCGCTGGCTTTGGCGGAGGTCTTGGTGAAGTTGCACAACTCGGTTTTCATTGGGATGACGGTGGGTTGGGGGGGGATGTGGCAGTGGCCGCTGTCCATGTAAATCCTTTTTTAGAAAAAAGAGGGAAATAAAGGTTAAAACCGGATCACCATGGGGTCTTTTTAGATATTGCCCTCGGATTAGGTAAGCTACACTCGTATCCTCACATGAATTTATCAATGAAAACAAAAGCAAAATTTCACTCCGTCTCAGCACGTCTTCTGCTTCACATTTAGTCCTAATGTGTCGCACTCACTTGGGGTCGATGAGGCAGTGGGCGTTGCTGATGTTGTTGATCTCGATGGTGACATTTCTCCGGCTCTTGAGGTTAGCCGCCAAAGCTTCAGCTGATTCACTCATGTTGCCAGGAAGGTTTTTGCAAGAGAGCCCGAGTGCTGCTGGTTGGAAAAGATTTGTTTGAGTAAATGTAAAGTGGAGCAGCTTTAACGTATACTCTGATTTAAAAAAAAAAAAAAGGTGCCAGACGATAAAAGAAGCAGAGCATGAAATAAAAGCGACTTACCTGTCAGGAATCAGAGGTGTGCTGCTCGCTTCAGCAAAGCCAGATTTTGAAGCACTGGCTTCACTCTTTGGATCGTTCACGGTTGGGAATGTTTGCACGTTAATCCCCACCCAGTGCCGTCTCCACCCACAGAGCACACCCTTCTCACCTCTAAACTTTCTATCCCACCTTAGCTTGAGGTATGAGGAACAGACGTATAAGACAAGGGTGTGACCAACAATCACAGCACTGTGTTTTTGTTTTTTTTGCCAAGTAAGAAGCTGGTTTGTTCACTTCTGGTCTCCAAGCACTGAAGAACACAATGTGTATTTATGCACCACACCTTCAGTCTCTGTGTCTGCGATGTTCTTTTAACTGTCCAACACACCTCTACATATCATGTCTGCATCACTCAGGACCCTTCACCCCCCCTTCACCACTCGTTTCGAGTACCACTGGCGAAAAAGAAAACATACAGAAACTCTTTTATTCCCACTGCAATACGCATTTTAAACAAGGCAATGGTTTTTAAAAATGCTGTGCACATGTGTTTTTACCTATTTAGGATAGGATAAGGATAATACTTTATTGATCCCCAGAGGGGAAATTCGGGCGTTACAGCAGCACAGACAAGAAAGCTCAAAATACACATTAAACAGAATAGATAAGATAAATAAAAATAAAAATAGGGGGTATATACAAGTACAAAATGAATGATGAAGTTAACTATGCAGGGAGTTGAGACAGTATGTGCAGAGACTGACAAGATAAAGTGACAAGTGATGATTAAAGTGACTTGGTATGATAAATAGCAGCAAGAAAATGTAGGGTATTTTAAGTGAGTGTTATTGTGAATGTTTGTGTGTTTTCATGTTGAGCCTCAACAAAAGGTCATTTTCTGTCACGATGTGAATCATTCTCACACCCTGACCCCTCACTTGTTGTTAGAGCTACTTCTTTAGGGGATGTTAAACTTTGAATTCCCTTTTTTTAGATTTAAGATGAAACAAAAGACAGCGCACACAAATAACTCAAATTATGTTGTTTTTTATTTTCATTACATGACAAGAATGATCGTTTATTCCACATCAGTGAACTCGTTTGGTGTCATTACAGCGGGACTCATCTGCCCATCTTGTCGTACAGCTCCAGTTTGACTATGGCCCTGCCCTCGTCGTTCATGCAGGCCCTCACATCCAGCATCTTCCCCTTGAACACGATCCCCGAGCCGTCCGCCTCGTAGCGCACAAAGTTGGCCATATCCTTGTTTTTGTACATCTCGTCGAACAGCTTGCTGTCGCAGGCGCGCGAGTCCTCGAAGATGCCCACGCCGAGCCAGTTCTTGTAGAAGTTGTAGTCGAACGGCACGGAGAACATGACCGCCATCAGCTCGCTGGCGCGGCGCTGCTGCATGTCGAACAGCTCGTAGGTCAGCACGCCCACGGCGCCTGACGCCGTGTTGTCGTCCTTGGTGAAGGAGCACACCTCGGTCATGCCGCTGCGCAGGGTGGGCGTCGGAGGGCTGAAGGAAAAGCCGCTCTCCATGTGCACCCTGAAGGTAGAAGAAGAGGTCGGATAGTTATCGTACTGAAATATCTTTAAGTAAGTAAAACTCCACAACGAGAGAAACATCTTCAGATTAGACTTAAAGCTACTCGGGGGGGGGGGGGTGCGCGCCCCATGTACGGAGGCTAAAGTCCTCCAAGTGAGCGGCCCAGGTTCAAATCCGATCTATAGCTCCTCCCACATGTCATTCCCCACTCTATGTCTCTCTCTCTCTGTCTCTCCCTCGCCCTCTCTCTCTCTCTCTGTCTCTCCCTCCCTCTCCCTCTCCCTCTCTTTCTCTCTCTCCCTCCCTCTCCCTCTCCCTCTCTTTCTCTCTCTCCCTCTCCCTCTCCCTTTCTCTCTGAATCTGAAGGGAAATATATAAAAAAACAAACAAAGGTTTTTTCCTGTTTTTTGAAGAACATCTCACAGAAAACTGAAACGATGTGATACACAGTGGTGACCCCAACTTAACATTTTTGAAAGAGTCGAGAGCCCAAAAGGTTTGAAAAGTGTTGCATTTAAAAAGTTGAACAACTGATATTTATGCAAAACCTGAATTTAAAAAAATTAAAGCGGTAAAAAATAAAAATAAAAATTAAGTTGAGTGTAAGAAGCTTTAAAATATGAAGTGACTAGTCATGCATAAATGGTGTTACTTTTTTTTTCCAGGTAAATTGATCCCACTATTATTTGTTTGTACACAAAGGAGAAATCTGTCTTAACATTTGCTCTTACTTTGGTTCGTAGAGACAATAGCGAGTGCTGGCGTTCTTGATCTCTATGACACACACACGGTTGGTGGTGAGGGCGACGATGTGCGACTCTGCGGTCTCAGGCATGTTGGCGGCTGCTGGAAGAAAGAGAGACGTGAGGAGAGAAAGACTCAGATGAGGACGACTGCTTCACGTTTAAAACTTTGGTCTAATTGTTTTTATTTTTACTGAAAAATCAGGCTGAGAGAAACGGAAAGAATCCCACTGTGACACAGACTCAGATAAGCATGCATCATGATTTCATCCTAACAAAATGAAACTGCTAAAAACATCACTGCTAACTATTATTACACTCTGCTGTCCACTTTTATTTAATTTTAAAATGTGCTCTAGCTCTGTTGAATTCTGCACAAATATGTCAAAAGAAAAAGCACTTACTGTCGTTTCTGTCACACACACAGGATGGAAGAGAGTCCTCTGAAAACAGGTCTGAGATTGATTCAGAGACAGGTTCAAAGTCACACCCTCACTGGCACAGTCACACCTCACACACAGCCTGAGCTCACAGGAGGAGTGTCTGTGCTGGGTTTTTAAAAAAGAGAAATCTGCTCCAATATATTGAAGCTTATGTGTGAAAGTTTAAAACTAAGTCCACTGAGGAGATAGACCAAAGAAAAGACAGAATATGTGAATCAAACAACTTATTACTGAGATCACTTTAGGACAAGTTGCACAGGCGTACAACAGATCAACTCTTTGACAGTTGTGAAATACCTGAACGTCTCAGAAAAGAGAAGCAACCACACCCGTCATCTGACGATGATGATGATGACGCATCTTAGATGAAGACCTCCCGAACCAGTTCACCTGAAAGAACACATCATGACAGTTAGTGATTCAGTATGTTTTTAAATCCTTTAGTTTACATGCATGTCTGTGTTTCACCGCAGACTCAAGGTTAACTTTTCATGAGGCAAGAGTTGATGAACGAGCAACAGAACTTACCATTGTTCTGCACAGCTTTGTTGTATGAGGGAAACTTGTTCCAGTATAAACCAAATGGGAGTGATGGGAATCAAGTTCTCAAGAAGTTGCCAGTCCATTGAGCAGAGAGTCACACAGTACCAACACATTAGACAACAGGGCTACCCTGCAAGTTCAAATGATTACAGAAAGACATATAGTACAACCGCAAAGATGCAAAAAATATCCGCAAAGGGATGCAAAATGTCCAGAAATGGATGCAATACATCCACAAAGAATACAAAATGGCAGAAAAAGCCTGCAAACTGTGCCAACAAAGGGATGCCAAACAACCATAAAGAAACAGAAAACGTCTACAAACAGAGGTTTAACATTCACAAAGATAGGCAGTGTTCATAAAAGGGAGTCAAAGTGTGCAGAAAGGGATGCCAAATAACCAAATAGAAATACTAATTTCAAAAAGGGCATGCAAAATGTCAACACAGGGATGCCAAACAACCATGAAGAAACAGAAAATGTCTTCAAACAGAGGTATAACATTCACAAAGACGGGCAGGGTGTTCAAATAGGGATGCAAAACCTGCAGACAGGGATGCCAAACAACTTGAAAGAAATACTAATGTCAAAAAGGGCATGCAAAATGTCAACACGGGGATGCCAAACAACCATGAAGAAACATAAGTTGTCTACAAACAGAGGTTTGACAAAGAGAGTCAGAGTGTTCACAAAGGAATGCAAAATGTCCAGAAAGGGATGCCAAACAAACACAAAGCATTACAAATGCCAAACAGGGGAAGCAAAATGTCCACAATGAGATGCCAAACAACCATGAAGAAACAGAAAATGTCTACAAATAGGAGGTAAAACATTCACAAAGAGAGTCAGAGTGTTCACAAAGGAATGCAAAATGTCCAGAAAGGGATGCCAATCAAACACAAAGCAATACAAATGCCAAAACAGCATGAAAAATGTTGACAAGGGAAGCAAAATGTACCCAATGAGATGCCAATCAACCATGAAGAAACAGAAAATGTCTACAAAAAGAGGTATAACATTCATGGGCAGACAGGCAGAGTGTTCACAGATGGATGCAAAACCTGCAGACAGGGATGCCAAACAACCACATAGAAATACAAAATGTCAACAAAGGGAGGAAAAACAGCCGCAAGCAAATAGAAAATGTCACCAAAAAGAGGTATCACATTCACAAAGACAGGCAGAGTGTTGACAGAGGGATGCAAAATGTCCATGAACCGACAATGTTTCTTGAAAAGAATTTTAAAAAAAACCACAAAGACAGTCTTTTAAGAATTGCAAAATGTCCCCAGAGAGACAAGAATGTCCAAAAAACAGATCTTAAATTTTAAAAAAGTTGACCAAGAGGTCGACAAATGGACACAAGACATCAAAGAGAAGTCAATATTTTCACAAAGACACAAAAAAGAAAGCTACAGAGATGCAATAAGACAAAGAGAGAGAGAGAGAGAGAGAGAGAGAGAGAGAGAGCGGCAACATGTCTGAACCCGGATTCAAAGAGAAAACAAACATAATTGTATTGCAACTTTAATCCTAAGCAAAGGATGTAATGGCTTCCAGTACACTGCACATATCTTCTAATTCTCAGTAGGGGCACTTGATCATAAATCTCTAAGGTAAAAAGAGGAGCCCATGATGAAATACTGGCTGCATCACAGTTCCACCAAGCATGCACATGTACAGATCCCAACATATCCTGAGAGGTTTAAAATGCAGATGATGCAAAAATAAAGTCTTGTTATTTTCCATGACCGGGCTGCAAACTGAACTATGTGATCTATGTTAAGGTAAAGGTAAAGTAAATTAATGATGCATCCCAGCAGCAAAGGAGGACACGCCTCTCTTCTATTATACTGATGTTGCTCAGCTGGTTGAACCAGACGGATAAATCTCTGCAGAATGTGGCAGCAATGTGATTTCTATTGCGGTCTCAAACAAAGGAATAACAAACTTATCAGTTCTTGTTTTTTTTGTCCTGGCAATTTTTTTTAGATCTATTCAAGTTCATGCTGAGCACATCAATATTTCTCAGCACGTCTCCAAAAGTTGATACACACATAATACTCAAGACCGCCTCAAGACCACCTTTTGAAGGTCTCGGTCTCAGAGTCGAAAGCATTTTTACTCAGTCTCAGACTGGGCAGACTCCAGATTTTTATTCAAGACCGATCAAGACCACCACTGACTGGCTTTATTTTTATTAACCCTCGAAAGGAAACAAAAAAAAATCCCCTCCGCCCACATGTAAGCCTAAATACACACCTCGTTACTTTGGGAACCACTGCAGTAATAAACTCATGCCTGTGTGTCGCCACAGTCTTTAAACAGGTTTTAAACACAGCAGCACCGTCTTGTGGTCAAATATAGAACAGCCAGTTTAATACAGACAGATTTGTAACATTTGTCATTGTACTGGATATGAGCCACAAGCACCTCCCAAGTCCGGATAAACATCTAATTACGACCAAAAAAAAAAAAAAAAAGGTTTTAATTGTTTGTAATGAGTTACAAAAGTTGCCAGAAACTAAATCTCGTTTCAAGAAACCAAAAAAAAGGAAGTGTTGATCATGGTATGTTTTACTGTTAATTGCAAACAAATCTCCCACGGGTGGCAGTAACCTTGTGGTTAGTGGAGGCTTTGGTCCTCCAAGCAGGCGGCCCGGGTTCGAGTCTGACCTCTGGCTCCTTTCCCGCATTTCATTTCCCTCTTTCTCTTTCTCTTTTTTTAAAGATTTATTTTTGGGCCTTTAATGGAGAGATAGGACAGTGGATAGAGTTGGAAATCAGAGAGAGAGAGAGAGAGAGAGAGGGGGGAATGACATGCAGGAAGGAAGCCACAGGTGGGATGTGAACCCGGGCTGCCCGCTTGAGACGACAGCCTCCATACATGGGGCGCGCGCACTAACCACTGTGCCACCAGCACCCCCTTGCTCTTTTTCTCTGATTTCTGACTCCCTCCTCTGTCTTATCTCTAAATAAAAGCATCAAAAGCCTAAAAATAAACCTGCAGTGAAGGTACGGCGGAGTTAAAAAATAGCTTGTTAACATGTTTCACATTATCGACAAACTAATCTCTGCGTCACACCTGCAATTAATTGAAATCACCTGGTTGTAAGTGCGCTCACTCAACATCATTTTCCATCCAGTGATAGTTTAAATCTGATAAGTTACCTTGTGGGAGTTAGGACACGCTGTGGGATCTGTAAGTTGCTCCTCTCTCCCAAGGTGTTCCCCAAGGTTCAGTTCTCGGACCCCTCCTCTTCATCGTGTACATGCTCCACCTTGGTCACATCATCTGCCGCCATAATCCCTCAAAACTCACCTCTTCATCACTGCCTACAACCACTAACTTATAACTAATTATTATTATTATTTAATCAGAGGAAGAATCACACACACACACACTGAGATCAAAATCACAGATTATTTTTATACAGGATTGTAAAAAAAATCAGATTCAGAAATTGCACTTTAAAGGTCTCCCGCTCCCCTGGTACACTTTGTAAATACATGACGCAGTATTACAGATGACTGAATCACTCTGTCTGCTTCGATATATAAAACAAAAACATACATTTTTTTAAACACATGATCCCTGATTTGTTGTGTGTCTTTGGTTTCGACCTTCAGTTTGTTGGCTGTACATAAAAAAACTTGTGTGATCATACAGACGGCACATCTGGCTTGACATTTAATCCTGATGAACTCTGATTTTTTCACCATCGCAGCTCGGAGGAGTTCCTGTTGAGCGGCTCTGTCCACCTTAGACACACAATCATTCATCCAAACCGCTGATTCACATTTTTATTTTTTTTTAAAGGCACCGAAAGCCACAGAGTTGTAATCATCACAGTGTGGCACCTGTCCCCAATAAAGTACACTTGTGTGCTTTAAAAATACTTAAAAAAAAGAACAAATAAGTTAACTCCCTTACCCTAAACACACTGGATTGAGCGTTACAGTCACACTCACCATTAAACATACCCACACACATAAACACAGAGAGAGAAGACGTAAGACTTGGGCCACTGCCAGCAGCGCTCTGACCGTCTATTTAGAGTGAGGAGACAGGATGTCTTAAGAAAGTGGCAATTGAAGTCTCGTCCCTTTATAGCGCGCTGCAACACCGAGAAGCCGCCCTTAACCGATTGTGTGATTTGCTCACAAAGGCATCACGGTAAACAGCAGTTATGGCGATTTGGAGGTCAGAGGTCAACCCGGCTGCAGCTTTTGTTGTGACGACAGGTCAGGTCATATTTTAGTTTGTAGCAGCTGATAAGGTTCACAATGACAGGGGTCGCATGATATTGTTCTGCAAGGATACAGTATGTCAATGCAAGCTGTAAACAAAGGACTAAATAAAACCAAGGAAGGATGAGGAATCGGCAGATCACCAAAGTCCTCCGTACTCCTCCTCTGAAGGACCCTGAATATTTGTACCAAATTTGAAGTTTCAGATGATTGCAATTATTTTTGCTAATGAGCACAGCCCACACAGCAGCTGTCATAGGAAAAGGAACAGAAAACGTGTGTTTTGCTGAGTTCAGAGAGCGATGGTCTGTCATCTGGAGGCGGGGCAGGCAGGGCGGGGCCCTCTCTGGGATTTCCTGTCAGCATGGTCGAATGCTGGAAATCTCCTGTGCAGACAGAAGAGAGACGATGACGTCATCTCTGGTCGACCTGCGCTCACTCAAATCACTCGCGCATGAAGAGACGCATGAGGCCCGCCTGATGCAGCTGCTGCCAGACGACCTTCTCCAGCTGCATGTCGTGGTTGGCGTAGAAATGCACCCGGGAGTAGACTGGGTCGTAGTAGTGGTCTGAGTACTTGATGTAGTCTGGGGTCATGAAGCCGTACGCACTCACCTTCATCACACAGGAGACACAGAAGACACACACATCCTTTACAAATGGACTGAATCCAGCCTTCCTGATTTAAATGTTCATTTACTGTATCTGCCTAATTCAATAAAGCATCATCTGAGTATTTTTACATCATACTATCTGTACTTTCTGTTCCTGTAAAACATCTGATGCCTCATCCTGCACTCAGGGGCGTTTACCAATTTTTTTTGGAACAATTGAAAAGCTTTTTCAAAGCAAACGATCCAATGAAATTCATCCCAAGGTTATGTCCCGTCTTCTACCTCGTTCTATTTGGTTTAAGTTGAAAATGAATCACAGTACAACAAGCATCATTTACTCTTCATAAACTTAAAGGAGCAGTATGTAACTCTGACACCTAGTATTTAAAATAGGTACTGCAGTCCAAAACATCATAGAGAGCTGTCCCCCCCCTCCTCTCTAGAGTCGATGCTCACACAGGTCACCATGTGGTGGACTCTGAAGCTTCAGTGTTTATCCAGCTCTGCATGGGTCTGTAAACCTTTCTGTGTTCTAACCTCTCTCCATTTTTCAAAAGCATCTCCAATATTGATCCTAGTTTGAGCACGTTTCTGCTCGTGGAGCTTATTAGAAACATGCAGAGGCTTTTTAGGTCGGGTACAATCACTTCTATCCGAACCACTTCTCTTGACCGCTTCCATCGCTGCAACACCTGTTGACCTGATAACTGCTCTCATATCTGGCAAACAGAGGGGCGTCCAAAACAGCCGTGTGGGGGGGGGGGTTGCCTTAAAAGCGCCTACCTGGAGGAGAGCGGAGGCTTCAGTATGGAGGAGGTGTGGCCTAACAGCAGTTTGTTTTGGTTTCATGCGGGTGCTCTAGGGCGACATCTACTGGATCAAAAAGTCGCACATTCTTCCTTTAATAGTAATGGCATGATTTTTAACTGCGGGAATCATCAAGTTATCTCATACCTACATCAAAGAATGTGCAGTGAGTTCATTAACATATCTGAGTGGGCTGTGGGGTAAACTCTCCGCCCTGACACAAAGCTACGCGTTGTCTGAGATCCAGCATTTACAAGGCCAGCTGCTCGGAGTCAAAACATTAGCACACTATCAGGCTAGTGCGGCCTTCTCCGGATAGTAAATAAGCAACCAGCTGACAGTGTGTGTGTTGCATGACTTACAGAGTGTGAAAACAGAATTTCCCCTTGCGAGATCATTAAAAGTGAATCTTAATCTTAAACTTAATCTTAACAGGAATGAGCAGAGATCAAAAAGTCTACCTTGTCACAGGTGTGCAGTGCAGCCAGCAGCATCACAGCTCCTGTGGATGGACGGTACAGTCTCGGATAATTTCTTCTCCGAGTATTAGAAGGGAGGAATCTAAAAAGAAGATCGTATAACATAATGTAAATAAATCTGTGGGGCTCTGAGGCACTGTGAGGGTGTTGGGAAACAGTTGGGAAAGTTCCTCTTTGACCCCTCGGTCACTGCGTGGGAACTCCCCACAGCAGCACAATCGGCTTCAGTCTCCTGGTCCAATTTGAATGTGTTTGAAATGCGAGCCCTGCTTTCATTCTGTGCACCTGCTCCGCAGATCCTCCGCTCACCTGTTTCTGATGTAACGGATGAAGTCAGGGTGATACATCTTCAACTTTTCTATAGACACGTCCTCTCCAAAGAACTTGGTCGGACTGTGGAGAAAAAGGAACAAAAAAAGCTTTAGCTCAAAGTTTATCCAGAAATAAAATATAATAATAATAACTTTATTTATATAGCACCTTTTAAAAACACAGGTTTACAAAGTGCTTTGACAAACAGCAAAAACAAGAACAAACTAAACCAAACACAGAAGAACATAAACAACAGCAAGAACAAACAAATACAAAATACTAAAAAATAATTAAATACAATTCAACAGAAAAGAACCCAAAGTGCACGATATCCAACAGACATATATAACCCGACCATCACAAGAACCATCATAAGAACCATCATAAGATCCATCAGAAGAACCATCAGAAGAACCATCAGAAGAACCATCAGAAGAACCATCATAAGAACCATCATAAGAACCATCATAAGAATCATCAGAAGAACCATCATAAGATCCATCAGAAGAACCATCACAAGAACCATCAAAAGAACCATCATAAGATCCATCAGAAGAACCATCAGAAGAACCATCAGAAGAACCATCATAAGAACCATCATAAGAACCATCATAAGAACCATCAGAAGAACCATCATAAGATCCATCAGAAGAACCATCACAAGAACCATCAAAAGAACCATCATAAGAACCATCATAAGAATCATCAGAAGAACCCAACAACACGAGTTGAGACCAAGAGGAACCAAAGATTTAAAAAGATGTAAGAAACTAAAAGAGCTCAAAGCAAATCAAAAGAGAACGGCAATAAGAAGGTAAGAGCAGAAAAAGAAATAGAAACAAGTGGTTAAAGGATAAATAAAAACTATAATATTAATAAAAATATAAAAGTAAATATAAATACAAAACATAAATAGACAAAGTAAGTAAGATAAGAAATGACCAAGTTAAAACATGAGGAGTTAAGATAAGAGCATAAATAAAAGAACAGTAAGACGTAAAAGAAGATAAAAATAGTAAAACCAGTAAGAAAAGACATTAAGAAGACGACATCACATAAAAACAAGTCTGTAAAAGAAACCTCCACCATGTCCTGTGACGGTGCACCGAGTGTAAAGAGCGATACTTTATTGATCCTGAGGGAAATTCAAATGTAAATGTTTATGGCGGATGGTCAGGTCAGCGCCGGACTCTTTACCTTAATAGTTGTAAGGGTTTCAACACGGTCGAGAGACTGTGAATACGGAAACATTTTGTTACGCACAGATCTTTAGGTTTTTCTGTCCTTTGTTAATACAAGAGCTGGTTGTGAACAGGAGGTGCCGTAGTTATGTTTTAATTAAACTCCCATTGCTGACCGCTCCTTGGAAACGTCATTTCCCCCACAACCGTTTTTTGAGGGGCAGCTGATTGAAAATTGGGCGCACCTGGTCAGGACACGGAGGAGGCAGTCAAGCACCAGCGCTAGAATTTAATAAAAAGAGGAAAACAGTCCTCTTTTGTGTGGTGAATTTTCTCATTTCACATAGTTAAAACAAAGAATATCTCTGACCCCGCTTCACATTTAAACGTGTAGAGAAGAGCCGCTCAGCTCCAAGACTTTTTTTTCTCTTCAATAAAAACTGCACTCTGTAAGGTTTATTTACTTCACAGAATACCACCATTTTCTTTAAGTGCATGATTTTTAACATAGTCGGAGAGAAAAGCTGTTTTAAAAACCGACGCTGCCAGCTACAGGCTACTCGGGCGAAGCATTCTGGGTCAGCTTGCAGATGTATAAAAGATTCATTACTTACTCTTTCCCCTGCTCTTTCCCTCTCTCCACGAGAGTGTGTTTCGCTACGGCCTTCACCATGAGGTAATCACGATCATGATCCGGCAGGAAAATGTATCGCGTTTCCTGTGGAGAGACACAGAGAAACATGCAACTCTTTGAAGACACCATTTTAGTTTTTATTTTCTGGTTTATTCATGACTGTGTTAAGTACTTGATTCTGATTGGCCAGTGACGCATAGCAACGGTCTGCTATACCTCAATAAAAGACCGAATTAAAGGTCACATATCCTCCTCCTTTAAAAAAAAAGTTTAAATAAGTCTCAGAGCTCCTCAAAACATGTGCGTGAAGTTTGTTGTTCTAAATCCACTCTGATCCTGTATTTGATCATGTCTATAAACCCCTCTATTTCAGCCCTGCTCAGAACAGACTGTTTCTGTGTCTGTACCTTTAAATATGTAAATGAGCTGTGTCTGACCACGCCCCCTCTCTGGAAGGGCTTGGGTGTACTCGGTCTTTCTCGCTCCATGTCCTATTGTTTATGGTGAGAAGGCAGACTCAGAGGGCAGAACAAACACCTAGCTGTGGGAGTGTCACCCACCTGGGGGAGGGGCTACTGGTCTTTGTGATGTCATGAAGGGAAAATTTGGGCCTGTTTGAGCACACATTTTCACCTTAGATCACCTTCGCACGCAGGGCACACCCTTTTCTTCAAAAGCTCCTCTTCCTCATGTCGAAAACTTGCGTTTAAAAATAACGATGGGTCAGTGCACATTAGAGTGAGAGAGAGCTACACGGGCGAGCGTTTATCAGACCGATCATCTGCTTTCGGTTTAGGTTTTACCAGTGAAGTGTGTTTTTATTTTATTTTCATTTCACCAGGACAAATCTCATTGTTTAAGAATTAAGAGTGTTCTGACTGAGACAGTTTTCTGGCTTTCAGACATCAAACAATTAACAACAATTCAAATATTTATTTAAAGGAATCACAAATTCCTTTAAATAAGGAAATCACAATTCTTTAAAAATTAGACATGAATCATCAACAACAAGGCGATCAAAAAGGGACAAAGGGCGTTAGTTAGAACAATCAGATATTCCCGCCTCCGGGTCATTGTCTTCTTTGCATCAATTCCCAGAAGAGGAAGCAGCATATTTGGCAGCAGTCTCTGTCAACAGACTGATAATCCTCTATTGGTTTACAGGTTTGACCAGTAGAGTATGTAAACTACATGACAGTAGTCTCTGTTATCAGATGATGATGTCCAATCTGAGAGCTCATCTGTCCTCACTGCTTATCAGACAGGTTTGATGTCTGTCTGTTGAAATGTTCTTAAATCGTTTGAGCTGCTGTTAAAACACTCAACATTACAATTCATTTATAAAATGTGCTTCTGCAGCAGCAAATAGTAGACTTCTCTAAGGACCCCCGACTGAACGAGACTTCCAGCGTCCCTCCACTGACGTCACATTTTTATATGAACGTTGCAGATAAATGATCCCAATCTGGACGAGAAGGGGTGGAGCAGGAGAGGAGCCATAATCGTAACTCACCTTAGACAGGGGGGGTCCTGTGTAACCAAAACGTCTGTAGTTCCCGTAGGAGTTCTTCAGGGTGTTGGTGGAGAACGTGTAGTGGGTGGTCCGAGACCCCACGTCCTGCTCAAAGCCTTTAGTGATGGCCCCGTTGGTCCTTAAAGATCACACTCACAGTCAACCAGAGAAAAACCTCACAGTGGATTTGATTTCTGACTTTCAGGGTATCTCGAGTTAGGATGAGTAAACAGGTCTAGAGTCGGTTTGTACCTGAAGACATAGTGGTGACTGTCGATCTCCTCCCCTTTCTTTGAGTTATTCAGGATCCCCCCGTTCCCCACCACAGCACAGCGGATACACTCGGAGTTCTTACTGCGGTCCTTCCAGTCGTCAAACATCTGCCAGTTAGCAGAAGAGTTGAGGACGGAAAGAGTTTCCACCAGCGCTGTTGAGACAGAAAAAAAAAACACAGATTGAATGTGGGTTACACAAATCAGGAGGAAAATGTTCCTGACAAACTGATTTCACTTTGTGGGTCATGTTTGTGCGTCCGCCCACAGACGTGGTGATTTATGACTCCCAAGACGCCCAAATGTCCTCAGTCCATTTATCCTAAAGTATAGAGTATATTCTATTAGAAACATGCAAGCGCTACCAAGCCTAAAGACGTCCTTAAAAAACGATAAAGTCAAACCTCCTCTCGGTTTGTTGTTCTTAGCTCTGTGTTTACACTAAAGGGCGGCGATTCCTTCAGCTTGTTTATGTTTCACTCAGAGGCTCAAACATGTTTCATTATGTGTATTTTTGATTTTGGAGTGAGTACCCTCCCTCTTCAACCGTTAGCGCTGCCACCACATAGGGGGAGAGCGTTGGCCCCGCCCACTGGAGGAGAACAAACAGACTGAAGGAATGACTTTCTAAGGCCTGAAAAAACAAACACATAACAACTGAATCAACAATCAAAAGTTGAAATCGACCGCGGAATCATTTTTGCAGACGTTTAGTAGCTATCGCCTGCTGCTGGTGAAACAGGACAGAGAGGGGGAGGAGCTGAGGGATGAAGGGGGCGTGTCCAGAGAGAGTGTTTTTGTTTTGTTCTGAAAATCTGCTCTGAAACTTGCACCGTAAGTGCAGGCTACCCCTGAGTGGAAAAATATAAATACAAATTGAAAACATACACAAAAATATAAAAAAAAAACATATACGAGAGACAACAAAGACATTTTCTCACTCGGGTAATCCATTTCGCCCCACCCGTGGGATCCTGGGTACTTGCTCAGGCGAAGGTGGTTCTCAGGAGTGACGTGTTGGGCCCACTGCAGGACCGGAACGTTTTTCAGAAACTCCTCCCTAAATTCAGTTTGAGCGACCCGCCTTCTGATGCTATCCGGGCAGTGCTGGAGGGAGCAGATAACACAGCAGTGTTGTTATCAAACAACTAATATTAAAGACACACAATTGTTTCCAGCGGTGGCAGGGGCCCCCCCTTGAAATCCCCCTTTTGGGCTGTGTTGTAACAGGCTGCCAGTCGTGTAAATTGTACTTGGAACTTATTTCATAAGTCAGATGAGTAGGAGAGGAATGAGTCTAAAAGAAATTGCAAGCAAACTCCTGCACAACGCAAAATCTTTGTGTCCAAAACATCTTCAACAGACAGTCAGAACAGGCTTGGCATCATGCTATGTTGATTGTTGGCACAAGTTTACATTCTTGTGCCAACAGGGGTTGCAGTGTTGAAAGCGGGCGAGAGAACTGGTTCAGATAGAGAGAACTGGTTCAGATAGAGAGAACTGGTTCATGACTGCAGCGAACTGTGGTAAACTCACATGAGAAAGATTCAGATGGCAGCACATTAAACTCTTACTAAGTCTTCTGATCATAACCATGAACAACACGAGCTGAGACCAAGAGGAGTAAAGATTTAAAAAGATGTAAGAAACTAAAAGAGCTCAAAGCAAATGAAAAGATAACAGCAATAAGAAGGTAAGAGCAGGAAAAGAAATAGAAACAAGTGGTTAAAGGATAAAAAAAAAACCTATAATATTAATAAAAATATAAAAGTAAATATAAATACAAAACATAAATAGACAAAGTAAGTAAGATAAGAAATGACCAAGTTAAAACATGAGGAGTTAAGATAAGAGCATAAATAAAAGAACAGTAAGAAGTAAAAGAAGATAAAAATAGTAAAACCAGTAAGAAAAGACATTAAGAAGACGACATCACATAAAAACAAGTCTGTAAAAGAAACCTCCACCATGTCCTGTGACGGTGCACCGAGTGTAAAGAGCGATACTTTATTGATCCTGAGGGAAATTCAAATGTAAATGTTTATGGCGGATGGTCAGGTCAGCGCCGGACTCTTTACCTTAATAGTTGTAAGGGTTTCAACACGGTCGAGAGACTGTGAATACGGAAACATTTTGTTACGCACAGATCTTTAGGTTTTTCGGTCCTTTGTTAATACAAGAGTTGGTTGTGAACAGGAGGTGCCGTAGTTATGTTTTAATTAAACTCCCATTGCTGACCGCTCCTTGGAAACGTCATTTCCCCCACAACCGTTTTTTGAGGGGCAGCTGATTGAAAATTGGGCGCACCTGGTCAGGACACGGAGGAGGCAGTCAAGCACCAGCGCTAGAATTTAATAAAAAGAGGAAAACAGTCCTCTTTTGTGTGGTGAATCTTCTCATTTCATAACCATGAGTTGTTTAAAGAGTCTTTAGGCAGATTTTATTTTTTTCCTTTTTCCAGTTGTGGGTTTGTTTTTTGTTTTTTTTGTCTTTCCCACAGTGGGCCGTCTCTCAGCTCTATAGAAAAAATAAAAAATCATTCTGCGGTGATGACACACTCGGGGAATGGGAGGGAGACGGGAGAAAACAGAGCCAGGCTGTAGGAGACTCTTTCCATTGCATGCAGCATTTACTGAGGGAACATATTCCCACCCAGTGCAGCCGCCCCATGACAACATCTCCAGCCTGATGAAACCCAGAAGTGTTCTGAAAGCCCCGCAGATATGATACAAAAACAACATCATGGGACACATCACAAGTTTAGAACGCAAACATGACTTAAACCCCCCCCCCACTTTTTAATCTCTGAATCACTGTTTGTCATTATTTGAATAACGCACAAGATTAGTGGCATAATGTTTTTGTCCTCTAGTCAAAAAATCCCAAAACCAACAAAGAATTCTTTCAACCAATAAGCATTGTGTATGTATCAAGGCTTGATTTAATGTCCCCCTCTATGCTCCATTGTTGTTTAAGACTATTAGAAACACGAGTCACACTGTTGCACTGTGTGTGGATGAACAAACACACTGTAGTTTATGTTGACTCAATCCTATACACACAATCCCTGCTGATCCAAATACTCCCATAAAGCACCAAATGTGGATTAGTTCTCGATCACTCCTCCAGATATGTTTGTAACAAGCTACAACGACCAGCTGATTGAGTGGCTTAATGAGCCTTTTTTACATTAACAAATTCTCATATTTAAAGATTGAAATCTGAAAGAACAAGAGGCGTTGGGGCCGAACATCTCAGACGCAAAGTTTTGAGAAACCATCTATCGGGGTTTTCATTTCCCACGTCTCAAACTACACATCACGTTGATTTAAAGGCAAAAATTGTCATCCTAACATCGGACTATGTTGACTTCTTCCGCGTCATTCTATCAGGTCTTGCCTCCTAAGCCCCACCCACCTTTCCCCTCCCCCTCGACAAAGATGGTCTCCCCCGCTGTGAGGTGCACGTCATGAGGACTTCATGGGGGGGGGGGGGGCAGCCCTGTCCTGAAATGTTCTGGAAAGTTTCAGGAGTGCATGTGCGATTAAAATTTTAGACTTCCCATTTTAGACAGTCTCCCCCTGCTGGCCTTTAGAAAGAATGCAGGTTCACGGTGAAATGTGTGTGTGTGTGTGCGCTCTCAGGAAGTGACAGAAACACACACAACTTTTTACTCACACTTGAGGATGTTGAACAAGTGTTGAGTTTGTTGAGTGCATACTGTGACTTTAAAGGGTTAATATGTGATTTTTCACTCTTAAATGTAGAAATCAAGAATCTCCTCTGAGAATAACTCTGTGAGTCATGACTGTCTACAATGGGTGTAACACCCGAGTCCCACTGTCTGTGATGTTTTCAGAGTTTTCAGAGTCCTATCTTCACTTTGTTTACATCGCCCGGACGGCCGGCTGACTCCTCCCCTCATGTATAAAAGTTGTTTAATTGAGGGACTAGAGAAAAGAAGAATAACATACTGTACTCACTGCTTAACTGTGTTTCTAGATCACGCTCATTTCAGGTAAATTTACATGCAGTGTGAAGATACCAGCATAATAAAGATCGCTAGCATTAGCATGCTAACACAACAATGCAGCGCCAGTTGTTTTGGTTTCATGCTGGTGCTCAAGGGCGACATCTGCTGGATCAAAAAATCACATATAAAGCCTTTAAATGAATAATTTCATAAAAGCTGTAAATCGCAAAAACATTCAGCTCATTGCACAGACGATGAAATAAAAAACAGTGTTTTTCTACACTCACTGTTTGTAGTGGGAAGTCCTCTGTCATGTAGCTGTCTCCGATGTAGGGAGGCACTGTTGTTCTGCCTTTAATACTGACCCTGGTTGACCCTGGTTGACCTGGTTCACCTGCGCCATCGTCGGACTTTAACACACCCGGGACATTGTTGTCGCCTGCTGGTTTGTGTTTGGTGTCTTGGGGTGAGGGAGTCTGTTGGGCTCCAGGTGTCATGGTGGAGGCGGGATTGGGCAACCAGTTGTTTTCCCTGTTGCTCTCTCTGTCGTTGTAAAGAGGCTCCTCGGAGTCCTGTGAGTTTCTGTGGAAGACAGGAAACAAGATGGCGGTTAGTCGAATGAGTCTCAGGCCCGCTTCTACGAGGGGTGCTGCATCCTGTAATGGAGTCTTTCATTCATCTGATCTGATGGTCATGACCGGTGCACGTGACCCGTCCGTTCACCGAGGACCCTCATCCTGCTGCCATCTTTGTTTCTTCTTCTTCATGTGTTTGAATTTCTACTTGTATCATTTCCTGTTTTATTTTGAGCTATGAGCCTCTCCTGTGGAGAGCCCCCCCCCCACCCCCCCCCCCCTTCAGAGTATTCAGACCCGGTCCCACTGACTTTTCTGACAGAAAAACGTCCTCGTGCTTAAACACCCCCGTTGGGTATCCGACTCCACCAAAACCTTTAAATCAAGTTTCAACACAATAACAAGCTCATTATACGGGAACGGGAGGATCTTGTTGTTGGAAAAACAAATTGATTTATGACCCATGTGGGAAGCTTTTTATTGCAATAATAAAGACGAGGCGGAGGTTTCAAACTCTTCATTTGCAGTACATATTATACTTCGAACATCACAAGCAGAGATTTCTGCATGAACAAAAAACCATCAATTTAAAATCTGATGACTCGTCGTGGGATCGAGCCTTTACGTTGTTTCTCCTCTGGCAACTTTTTAATCAAAGCAGTGGGTCGATCAGAATCTCCTGAATAAGCCGTAGACTGTGAAGTCTCTGTAACGTCACCCGCTGGTTTGGAAAGAGAAGCTTTGAAGCAAGCCGTGCAAGAAGTGCAAAATCCTGCAGTTCATCGAGTGTCCACTAGAGGCTGGCTGCGGAAGCACAGGACGTCACATACACACCCATTCTAAAGGCAGAAACATGTTTAAAGCCTAGTAAAATCGTCTCGATCAACACACACTGTACGGGGGGGGGTGAATGTTTTGATGACTCATCAGTTTTGATTTGATGAAGGATAAGAGTTATTCACAATAAGGCGTGTAGCTGACCTGATTGACAGGTGGGCGCGGTGTAACGGTTTGTCAGGAGGTTTAAAACCCGCCTGAGCTCCAGCTCTCAGCCTGTCGTTAGGTTGACTGAAAGTTAGACTGAGACAGCATTTCCAGCATGGAGACCGCCATCAATGGGACTCCAGCGCCCCCTGCAGGAACAGATGGGTGACGTCTCTCAGGCTTTGCCCGTTAATATTTACAGTCTCTGGTTTAAAGCTGAAAGTAGCTGGTTGCCATATTGACAAAAACCCAAACTTTGGTCGATCTACTAACAGGCAAAGAGGTGGAGTCAACTCCACCGCGCCCGAATTATGCAAATGTCTCATTATTCAACAGTTTGTAGCATAAATAAAAACCTTTTCGATAATAACTGTTTGTTTTTTTTGTATCAAACTGTAAACATGTTTACTTCTTCTGAAAACAGATAACATTTTAATACGGGACCTAACGGGGATTCCTTAGCTCTTGCAGACAGCCTCAAGTGGACAGTGGAGTGGATACACTGCACCCTCTCTGTAAACAGCATCAGATTACAATGAAGTTGCCACAGAGGAAAGTAAACCTCATAAAGCTTACTTAGGTTGAAGTGGATCCGGTTGATGTTGATTTAAGGTCAACCCTGAAGAGGACAGGGCGTCAGTTAGTTTGCATAACAGTGAACTAAGTCAAACTGAATCTCACTGAACAGATTCTAATCCTGAACCTTGGTTCATGTTACTCCTGAGCCTCCGTCTGATAGATAACTTCATACCTTCACTTTCTGAGTGAGCATTTAGTTCTAGGAGAAATGGATAAAATAAAAGAGAAATAACAGATATTCCACTTTCCCATTGTTTCTTTTTTTGGGAGGTAAATTAAAAACCTATTCCTGTAAATGGTTGGGACCTAATGGGGATTTGTTGTCAGCTTCAAGTGGACACTCGAGGAACTGCAGTTTTTCAGCACAAAGTCTCCACAGCCAATTAAAACAAATGAGGTCTCCCACATCAAACAGGAGCCACAGCGCGGGGGCAGTGAGGAGGACGTTCACAAGGTTATTTTCATCCAGGGGTTCCAGGATTAGAGAACAGCTTTCCAAAAATGAGAGAATGTTCAAACTTACCCCCTCAGTGGTCTGAAATAGACCTCTTGAGGAGCGGACTTAATGCATCTTATCTGGCTCTTACAGCTGGAGCGCTGCCCCTGCTGATGTTTCACATACACATGCAAGTTTTAGTGTTAGTGCTGCAAACTCCTGGAATATTTTACAACAGGACCTGAACTTTTATCCGTTATATATTATTAATATATTAATATTGTTAATATTATTACAGTTACTGACTGTAACTGTTTTATTTGATTTTAATTACTGACTTATCACTGTAGTAATTTCAAGATTTTAAATTATTTTAGTGTATATATTTTATTGTTCTTATTCTTTTATTGATTTTATTTTCTGTAGTAGCTTAATCTCATTTCTCGTTGTTTATCATACTGCTGGAAGAGGAATAGCTGGTTACACAAAAACCTCCAAACACAAACATTGTCTGATTTTCTCAATTCCTAAAAGCAGGGTGTTACTCTAATTCCAGGTTGTATTGAAAGGAGGGACACATTTCATTAAACAATCTGTGAAGGGTGCAGTGCTGGATTAATTAACTCATGGGTGTCACTGCTGAAAGAATGTGTCACATTTTTATCCTTCCTGCCAACTGATTTAATCTCAGGGCAATTAAAAAAAATGCAATGTTCTTACACTTTCATGTGGCCTGAATGATTTGAGCACATACCTGCTCTCTCCCAGAGTGAAGACTGTGAGGCGTTTGAGAGGCTTCAGGGACGAGGGCCAAGGCCTCTGCACGTTAACACACAGGATGTAGAAAAACAGCAGGGAGCAGACGGACAACAGGCCGAGCAGCAGCCTCCTCCTCAGCAGCATCTTAACGCGTGTGTGTGATCTCTGTTGACAAGCTGTTTGTGCTCGCCGTGCCCTTTGCCCCCTCTGAAGTCACATGAGAAGGCAGACGAGGAGCGAAGGGGACAGGGATGTAGTCCTGCTCAGGTTGGCTGTATCCGTCTGGTCGAGCGATTCCTGAGAAGGCGTGGAGGTCGTTATGGCGGGGATTTAATAAGCATACAACTATCTGGACTTCAGTCTGGGCGAGAGAGAGAGAGAGAGAGAGAGAGAGAGAGAGGGGAAACTTTAACACAGTTTCCAAATAATCCCTTTTTAATGAAACTTTTTCTTCATGCCCCAGAACACAAAGCACAGTTGTCACAACCTTCATATCCTGTTACATCCTCCTTTTTCCATTTGTCTCCTTTCTGCTCTCATTCTTAGTATAAAAAACCCCCAAAAATAACAGAAGAGGAAACACTGCAGCAACACACAACAACACGTGAAAGAACCGCACACACAGAGAGAAGCTGAACAGGCAACATTTCGGTCGCTTTTTCTGAGCTGACAGAAGTTTAAAAAAATAAAATAAACCTCAAGTTTGATGCAGAAGACGAGAAGGAAGTTTGTCACAGAAAACTCTGCCGGTTGTTGTCTGCTGACAGACTCTGAGAAAGTCAGAGTTGAAGATATTTGCATACACAGTGAAGACGACCCCTCTCTCCACTTCTCACCTATCTGTAGAGTAATAAACTCTGCCAACACAAACAGCCTTGAGCTGCTTTAAGTCCAACAATCCTCGAGGGTAATCACTTATTGACTTTGAGAATAAAGAGAATAATAATGGCACTTGTGACAAATTCCCAGGCGAGTGAGGCTAAACGGGGGAATGGAAAGAATGTTTTTGCGGTGATCCAGTGACAAACAACACTGTCTGGTAAGAGCCACAACAGGGAAACATCTCCCCGCCAAACAACACAACAAAAAGAATTGAAGAAAAACCGGTTGAAGTTTTATCAAAGATTTGTAATTAAAATTAACTTAAAAAAAGGAATAAATGATCTCCAGCATGTTTGGAAAATAATCAGAGAGAAATACAAGAAAGGAAAAAAAACACACATGCATAAGACTGCCACCAATTAGGACTAAAAAGCTCTCAGAGGGTTCCCACCTAACAGAAACAAAGCCCCTACATTAAAAGCTAAAAGATGGAATAAACAGAAGAGTTAAAGTCCTCTCACCAGTAGACAATCTTCTTCAGTTCAGTTCCCCTCACTCTCTTCTTTGGAGTGGCTCTAGGCAGAAAAAACTCCTCTAAGGTCGCCGGCTCATCTAGCAGTGTAACGGCCTCTCCGCCAGCCTCAGCGCTGTAGGGGCAGGGTCATTGTGAACTGTGAAGTGAGCAACAGCTGCTGGCAAATGATTAACCCCCTCAAACTCTGGAGCAGAGGAGGGAGGAGGGAGGAGGAGGAGGAGGGGAGAGAAAGAGAATCCAACTGCAGGCTGCAGTAAAGTTAGACATGAGCAGGCAGCTTGAAGAAGCCCTGCTGAATCACAACGTGACAGACAGGAAACATGAGGGAGTGGGGGAAATAGGTGACAAGCAGGAACATGCAGCCTGAACTTCCTCCTTCACACAGCTGACAGCTTTTTATGAATCAAGATAGGAAGAAACTTCTTCTACTCCTAATTATTATAGCAGATCCATTCACTCCATCCCTCCTGCAGCAGCCAGGCAGTCATCAGCTACTGCTGCTGCCGCCCAAAGAGCCAAGTGAGAGAGTCAAAGAGTCTGTGTGCTGCCTCTCCGGCTTCGGTTTCCTCCTGTGAAAAACAGAAAGGAAATATACGCTGAGAGGGGGAGACACGTTTCAGTGCCCCAGCACCAGCCGCTTTGGCAGCCAGCAGGAAGTGAGCAAGCTGGAGGGCGAGGGAGCAAGAAGAAGAAAAAGGGGGAGGGAGAAGAAGAAGAAGTGGGTCAGACTCTGGACAGATGTGTAGGCTGAAACATCCCTGAGGAGGGTTTCACTCACTGCTCTCCATAAAGGCTGCGATCTGCAATTACAGAACTCTGATTCATGAGTAACAGATGAGATACTGGTGAACAGATATTTAAGGAATTGAACCCACTCATTTAAACACTTAAGTGCATTGTTATTGGAGATACTTCTCGGCCTCCAAAACCAGTGATTTATGGTCCGACAGAGCGAGGGATGAGGGGAAGGCGGGGAGGCGAAACAAGCAAACAATTGTCTGTTATCCGACAGTAAAAAGAAAACAAAAAAACACAGTGTCTCAACAGTCTTTTGTGTTTTATTCTCTTCCTGCTGATAGATGAGTCAGCATTAACAATAAAAAGCTTTCTACAACAAGGTCAGAAAATGTGTTGCAATCAAGAGCTACATATTTAGGTGCAGAGGTTTACACATGGAACAACATTGAAACAACGAGCAATGACAGCTGGAATGATTTGTTAACAAAAAAAATAAAATAAATGAAACAGGGTGGTGGCCTGAATTTGTTATCTCGCACCACCAGGGTCATCTCGGGTCTTGATGGGAGGAATGGTAGTGGCACACAAACGCACACATACACACAAAGGCAGGCTCACTGCGCACTTTTAGGACAGGCATGTGCAGGGAACGCCAACTCACATCGCCACACTCCCGAGTCTGAGGCCAGCAGCACGCCCTCCCCTCAGCGAGAGGAGGACGTGCTGCGAGGCCTTCAGGTCCTCATTACTCACAGTTAGTGACCGTGAAACCCACAGCAGTGTGACACACATCCACCACTTCTGTCTCTCTTAAAAAGACGCCAGCCTGGGATTCTACCTCATTATTGTCCAATAGTTCTCTGGCGTCAGACGCAGACGTTTCCCCCCCACAGAGATCCAGTTCCTTTTGACATTATTTAACTTCCTGCAAAGTTAGTTGAAGTTTCACTCAAATAACTTAACTAATAACTAACTGACCTGATTGTTGCATTAGGAAGGCTTTTTTTTTTTTTTTTAACATAGTGGCACGCTCATAACTGTAACAGTCATTTTTGCAGTCTGTATGTGAGAACTAATCTTTTGTTGTTTTAAGGGTGTGGTGCTAACAGAAAGAGAACATGCTGGGTGAACCTTTGAATTCATTAAAAAAGACGTTAAAATGTGATGACTAAAATGTTGCCGAGGTCAGAAACTGCATTACTCATAAAGCTGCTCTACGACGTGATGCCACAACTGATCCAGTACATTACACTTCATTTGAACCTTTCACATTGTGGACTACTTCACATGTCAGAAAAAACCTGACAAAGTCCATTACAACCATCTATATATATGGCATAGTTATAAAGTTTTATCAGGGCAGGTAGAGTTCTGCCATGTGACCTTTAGCATTCTTGCAAAAAAAAAAAAAAAAAGACTTGAAAACACTCTGAGAAACACTGAGGGCAGGTTAGAGTCCTTGACCTTTCTGTGGACTATAAACATGACAAACAAACGTCGAGTGCTAAAAATAAATAGAAAAAAAGAGGAAGACAATAAATATCTTCTGCAGGTTCTTCAATCAGATTGAGGTCTTTCACATCCTAAATAACAGGCCGTACTTTCAGGTTTAGAGTTTCTTTCAGCAGCACAAACTCTTGTTACCCCCCCTGCCCCCGTCTGCTTGTTGAGTTTGAAGTGTTTTGTCACAGTGCCGCCTCTGAATCAAACCAAAGAGGAACCTTGATACCACGTGTTTTTAAAAATTGATATGAACTCGTACAAGAGCTTAAACAAATAAAAATCTTTGTCACATAAAAGACCCTTGTAAAAGGAATTAAAGCATCAAAAATTGTAAGCAAACTCCTGCACGCTGTTTGAATTGCACTTTGTCGATGTCGGTGCCATTTCAAACACTGAACTTGGGTGCTTTGGACTTTCTATTTCTGGTCTATTTATGGTATCGATATCGTTCGAGTTTTACAAGAATTGTATCGTAGCTTACAATTGTGGTATTGTGACCACCTTACTACGAGGTCTTAAAACATACCTTTGGTCACATGCCATCTAACTCCACCCCAGCTCTGCTTTCCTAAGCCTATAAACATTTTCTATGCGCATTCTTTCCGCCCCGTCCACCTCCCCCTCATCCTCTTCTTTCCTCCTCACATACTGAAACTTTCAAAAAGCCACTCTGCAATCATCCGTCTTTGACCTCAGACAAGCCAACCCTCTTTTCTTCACTCCTTTTACACAATCTCTCTCTCTCTCTTTCTAGCAACGTCCTACTTACACTTTAACTCTCGTCTGTAACCGAGTTAGTACTTTGTGTTAGTACACACTGTGGTTTAAGACGCACACAGAGCAGTTCAGAGCTGCTCACGGGGGCTGCAGTGAGGGAGAGGTTATAGAGCCTGTAATTAGCACGCGCCTCGAGGGGGGGCACTGGGACACAAACACATGGCTCAACAGATAACAGGGGGCAAAAAGAGCAACACTGCTAACACACAGAGGCTCCTTCTTCAGCTCTCATGCTGACAGATCCCACTCCTCCTGTTGTTAGAGAACAGTTGTAGAGCTTTCATGCATGCACTTAAACTCCTGAAAACTTCCTGAAATTCTTCCAGGTGAGTTGTACGTTGTGAACACAAACAGCCCCAATTTTTAACCCCCTACTTCACCAGCAGCCGAGGAGCTTATCAGCCTGAAGTCGGGGTAAGAGGGTGTGAAAACAACAGCAGCAAATATTCAGAAAGAAATTCACAGAGTTAGCGGGATGGGGGTGATGACTGTCTGGCACCGGTGCACGACTGTACACTGTTCATTCTTTGTCCCGTGTGAACTCTGTGCACCCAATGAAACATCTTCTTTATGCTTTTCTGTTTGCCAGAATGTTGTTCCCCGCTCTTTGTCATGATAGTGTTGGAGTCTCCTTGCCTCTTCTTTTTACTTCATGTACTGCGTCCTGAACCCCCCCCCCCCCCCCAAAAGAAAAACTGGATAGCCCAAGGTGCAGAAAAAAAAACAACTCAGGAAGATTTGAGGGGTAGCCTCTCTGAAATTTGTGCATTTGTGAAAAGAGAACTTTCTCTGCACCAATACAGGCTAGAACTGGTTTAAGAAACATCTGGAAGTGTTCTCTGTGGCAGCTCTGTGGGGAACATGGAGGCACTACTGCTTCCACAAACTGCAGTGGGAGTGAGGGCGAGGGGAGGGCAGAGGGGGGGTGGGATATGAAAGGGGGGCGCAGTCACTGAAATCTGCAGTAATCTGGAAACAGAAGAAATATAAGAAGAATAGGACGTCCATCCTCAGTCTTTTCATGTGGTGCCACCTGGTCTGTTTCTATTACACAACACGCTCCTTCATGCCTGTGGGGGGGGGGGTCTATACAGTGAGGCCCAGGGCTTTTTCCCCCCATTTTGTATTCTTCAAATGAGGTAGGACAAGGTTCAGTCACTTGTTCAACATCTGAAGTTCCACAGGTTCAGTCTTGCTGGTAGGAAAAAACATCCAAAGGACAAAAAAGGGGCCGAGGGTATGGGGGGGGGGGGGGGGGGGGGCTTCAGCGACACCGTGGAAAGAGGTTCTGTTGGAGGGAGATGGGAGGGTGGTGGTTGAGACAGATGAAAACAGGCCTTCCTGTCAGTCACTTTTCTAACAGCTGTTTCCTCTGCTGCTCCCACAGGGCCTCCAGGTGGTCCGCCCTCTTCAGCGCAGCCTATCAGAGGAGAGAATATTTCCACGCGCTGTCAATCATCTCATCCTTAAACCGTCTTTTTATTATTCATGATTTTTTTTGCCTGTTCGTCATCGGGTCTCTTACCTCGTGCTGCTTCCGGAGATGATTAACAGTTTCTTCCTTCTTCAGAATAGCCGACTTCACGCTAGAGAATCAAAAACAGAAAGTGAAAAAGGGGACAATAAAAAGTGAGGTTTTGGTTTGCAACAACACTTATTAAATTCACTTCCTGTTCAGTACTGCTCACTCTGTTTACCGTATTTTTGCAACTGTTCAGAGATCTGGGAAAATACCTACAAAAGCAATCTACAACCACTTAATTAATATACTTCAAAACAGAGCCATCAGATTAGTACACACCAACCCATTATTCTTAAAGTCCAAATGATTCAAATGTTCTGACCTAGTCCAACTAAAAACTGCACAGATCGTGTTTAAAATCGAGGAATAATCTCCTCCCTCGCAGCACTCGGGAATTGTGAGTTTGCTTATTTATTAAATACAGTTATTAAATATTAATAATATTAGTAATTAAGTAACTAATTTGAGACTGATTTTAGTGATATTTTGGTTATTTTCCCCTGATTTCAGGGTGGTGCCCCTGAGTCAATTAAATGTAATTTAATAACACTGTTATTTATATTAATAAATAATTAAATATAATTATTAATAATATAACCAAATTTGACTAGATAAAACCCCAACAGATCGCTTTTAACTTTTTGCTACTCCTTTTCGGGGATGTAAGAGCAAATGAAGGACACTGAATTTTCTGACATTTGTTTTCTACATATTTTTAATTACAGCATGTCTTTGTTTGTGTTGTCTTTTTACATGTTTGAAATAAAGAAAGAAATAAAGAAATGTTTAGAGACTGGCGTTGACCTAAAACCTGTTACAGTATTTCCTATAAATAAAACCTGACAAATTTGGTTGTTCTTTACCTCTGCCAACAGTTTGAGTTACAGTAAGTCACACCTGTTTGGGCATTATGACGATAAAAAGTTCCACTGGTGGAAAATGAGAAGTCATTTCAAACTCGTGGTGGCTAAAAAGGAACTTCAAACATGATTGTAAACATAAACAAGCACTAAACACAACAGGATACAAAACCATCTTCACACACTCACAGTTAAAAAGCTGTGTGGCTTCCACAGACTGTTACTGTGGCAACGCAAGAGGTATACTTGTTTAATTAAATAATCTTTAATTCTGCACTGTAACTTTTAACTCCTTATTTATTTCAATGAATTTCATGCTCCTAAACTTGCCAGCATCAAAGCCCGGACAAGCGTACTGTATCTTTATTTACAGTTAAAGTAATCCTGAACCAGCTTGCATTTAAACGTTGTTGTTTAAAAAAGACATTAGTGCTGTAAGTTTCAGCTGTAATGAACTGGAAACAAAAGTTTGGCTCATCACTCTGTCTCTCTTTTTTTAACTTACCGTTGGTGGACCTCAGCCAGCTCCTCCTCCTTCTCCCTGGTGACTCTCTCAACCTCCAGCCGCAACCTCGCTCGCACCTCCGACACCTCCACCTTCATCCTGCGGTTCTCCTCCTCAGTCATCACCAGCCGGTCGGCAAACTCCTGCCGTATCACCTCAGCCAGACTGTGACGCTCGTCCACCAGCTTATCTCTGGTCTGCAAATTTGAAATGTTTGCAAAAGTCAAACACGGCATTTCTGGAGTTTTTTTTCATATTGTACACGTTTTTCATCTAGAGTTCTGTTTACATCCTGAGAGGGATTCTGTGATTTCTTCCTGTTTGCAGATACCCAGGAGTATAAGACATGAGAGATATATCCTGAGGCATTGAGCTGATTTGCTCCTCACCAGTGTGATGTCTTCCATCGCCTGCTCTTTCTGTCGGAGAGCGGCCTGCAGTCGGATCAGCTCGCCCTCCGCGTCTATCTGCTGCCTCTTCAGCTCCTGCTGTTTCTCCACAGCCGTCCTCTCTGAGCGCTCCAGCTCCCTCAGCTCTGCCTCGTATTTTTCTCTCACACGCTTCACCCTGAGAACAGTGACAATGCAGGTTGATGTTGAATTCCGCCTTTTTTAACATGTTGTGGGTTTGTTGTTTTAACAGGACAGAAGCAGATAGAAAAAGGTGTGCACAACAATGAAATGTCAGGTACTGGACATAGGACATATAAACCATGAGAAATGTTGGATGTTTACAACCGCGGGTGGCTCTCCGTTTAAAATGAATGAATGTTTCACCTCATTTTATTGTTAAAAAGGAAAAAATGTTAGAGCTCATTTAACCAATCTAATTCATCACATCAAGTGCAATACAACTGTGAATCAAGACACACACACACACACACACACACACACACCTGTTGTCAGCCGCCCTCTCACACTCCTCCTTGTCCTTGCTGGTCTCCTCCTCCAGCGTCCAGATGGCGAGCTCGATCTCTTTGTCGCGTTCTCGTCGTAGCTCTTCTTTGAGCTCGCGCTCGCGGCTCAGCAGCCAGACTTCCTGCAGACACACAACACAATTTTTTGGTTGTCATGGCACTTTTCTGACCTCATACAGACACAAACACTACAGTGCAAAGAAACATCTATCACTTCTTGGTTAGTGGTTACTCATTCACAGAATCTACACAGTTGAAGTTCCTGGATCATCGATGTGTTTATTTTATTTTTATGACTCTGCTCTTACACTTAATGTTTGACGTGTTCCGTGTAAAGGCTTTTATAAAGGCTCTATCCAAGTTACGTTTTAACAGAACAGGATACCTGCTCTTAGTGCAAGTGCAAGTGGAAATGCTCCACCTGCCTGCAACCACACACAGTTGAATTACACCTCTTATTGGAAATCTTAGTTTCCCAGTTTTATTTGAAATAGCTAGAATAATACCAGTCAAAATATAATATTTGTCTGCAAACAAATACGAGACCCTCGCCGAATGAGCTGAGTACTGAATATGTACTGAACTTACAGGTTTGATGTTTAACACTTCACTAGAACAGGCAGAATGTAGCCATGTAGTTTCAGATGTCTGAACATCAACAAACCTCTTTCTTCTTGTGATTTTCTTCCCACGTCTGCTTCTCGATGTCCGAGCGTTCCTGTGCGGCCCTCATCTCCACCTTGTTAAACAAATAAGACCGCTGCAGTTAGCACGCCGCAGTCCTGCTAACGTCCTGATAAAGGGTCTATCAAGGTGCAGATAGCACACAAGTATTCAGGCCAGCAGGAACAAACTGAAGTTATTTTGAACCGCTGCAGTGCTCACCTGGTGCCTCCTCTCCTGCTCCTCTCTCGTCTTGTCCAGCTCCTCTCTGAGGGCTCGTCCAGCCAGAGAGCTGTTCTCCTCCAGCTGCTTTCTCAGATCCTCCAGCTCAGTGCGCTGCCTGCAAGTCAGACACACAGAAGAGCTTTGGAAAGGAAAGCCAGGCATTGAGATACATACAGTCCTCTAGGTATTTACTATGAACTCTTGAAATGGTAGTCAGCATTAGCCATATGGGATGCTGGGAGGTTTCAGAATACAGTTGCAGGAAAAAGTATGTGATCCCTTGGATTTAAAAAACTGGTTGACCCTCCTTTGGCAGCAATAACCTCAACCAAACGTCTCCTGTAGTTGCAGATCAGACCTGCACAACGGTCAGGAGGAATTTTGGACCATTCCTCTTCACAAAACTTTTTCAGTTCAGCAATGTTCTCAGGATGTCTGGTGTGAATCGCTCTCTTGAGGTCATGCCACAGCATCTCTATCGGGTTGAGGTCAGGACTCTGACCGGGCCACTCCAGAAGGCGTATTGTCTTTCTTTCTTTAAATTAAAAACATCCGGAATCCAAACTAACTACATAAAAACAGTAAGATAAGAAACTGTAATTTAACACCCACAGAACCTCCTGCACATGTAAAAACTAATTTGCTTGATTTACTGTGCTTTGGGGGTCGTTGTCCTGTTGCATCACCCATCTTCTGTTGAGCTTCAATTGGTGGACAAGTTTTCCTACAAAATGTCTTGATAAACGTGGGAATTCATTTTTCCGTCGATGATAGCAATCTGTACAGGCCCTGATGCAGCAAAGCAGCCCCAAACCATGATGCCCCCTCCACCATACTTCACAGTTGGGATGAGGTTTTGATGTGCCTTTTTTTCTCCACACAGTGTTGTGTGTTCCTTCCAAACAACTCAACTTTGGTTTCATCTGTCCACAGGATGTTTTGTCAGTAGTGCTGTGGAACATCCAGGTGCTCCTTCTGCAAACATCAAGCGTGCAGCAATGTTTTTTTAGACAGCAGTGGCTTTCTCCGTGGTGTCCTCCCATGAACTCCATTCTTGTTTAGTGTTTTACATATCGTAGATTCGTCAACAGAGATGTTAGAATGTGCTAGAGATTTGTGTAAGTCTTTAGCTGACACTCTAGGATTCTACAGGACGGCCACTTCTAGGGAGAGTAGCAACAGTGCTGAACTTTCTCCATTTATAGACAATTTGTCTTCCCGTGGACTGATGAACATCGAGGCTTTTAAAGATTCTTTTGTAACCCTTTCCAGCTTTATGCAAGTCAACAATTCTTAATCGTAGGTCTTCTGAGAGCTCTTTTGTGCGAGGCATGGTTCACATCAGGCAATGCTTCTTAAGAGTAGCAAACTCAAAACTGAAGTGTGTTTTTTATAGGGCAGGCCAGCTTTAACCAACACCTCCAATCTCGTCTCATTGATTGGACTCCAAGCTCACTCTCACAAACAAGAAAGACAAAGTTTCTACTGGAGCGTTTTGTGGGGATTAATGGATCGCTGTTTCTCTCTCAACATCTTCAACCAGGGATCTGCTCAGTGTAACAGCATTCACCAAACCAAATTTCTTGTTCGTGTTTCTCTGATTCTAATCTTATTCTGGAGCCGACCGTGAAGACTGGAACAGTTTCTGGAGAGGTTTTTTGGACTTTCACTCACCTTGCAGCCAGCTGAGCCAGCCTCTCTTTCTCATCAGCCACCTCCTTGTAGAGACGCCTCCTCTGCTGCTGCAGGGACAACTCCTCTTCCTGTAGCTGTTTCTCATATCTGACAAACAAACACACACACAAGGTCAATATGTGAGTATCAAATAAACAGTGTTTAACTGTTGCACACGGACAGAGCACATGAATATCTCTAAACACGTTCATCAATTCCTGTAAATAAAAGAAGATTATCCTCATGGGAACAATTTCCATATTTAAAGATCCATGGTGTCTGATCTTCAGTCATTTTAAACACAAAGTTGATGCGAGCGAGAGAGAACGAGGTCTGCAAAAACTGAAATGCATGGTATCAACAAAGTTACTGACATTGTCTGAGCTTTAATGGTATCATTTAAAATTCTGGAAACATAACGACTCTCATCCTCAAAAAATGAGATGCAAGTAAATTTAAAGCTTACTCTGATATGACATGCGTACCTCTGTTTGGCTAGCTCTCTCTCTCTCTGACACTGCTCTTCCTTCTCCCTCTCCAGCTGCTGGCGGAGCTCCTCACACTGGCGGACGTAGCGTTGAGCCGCCCGGTCATCGGCCTGCAGCAGCTCCGCCTCGTGCAGTGTCCGCAGCTTTTTCAGCTCCTGTTTGTGCTTGGAGATCAGCTTCTGGATCTCTGGCTCCAGACCTGAGGGAGGACAGGGAACAGAACATAGATCATGGTGTGTGGCTTGTCAGGGCCTGCAGCATGTTTACAGAACAGGGGGTGAAATTTGCTGAGAAACAGGCTTCTTAGCAGGCCAGAAGAGGCCAAACCAACCTTCTGTATACAACACAGTGGTTACTTCCAATAAACTAGTACAATCAATAATCCAGCAGCAAGTTTGAGATCGATGTCACGTGAAGCTATCAGCTGCCAGAAAGCCGCAGCCAAAATGAGCAGTGAAAGAAAATGGAGTCATGTGGTATGACGCTTACAGATACACTACCAGGTTGTAGGATGAAGGATGCAGAAGAAACAGATAAACTACTTTTGACAAAATTCTTCAACGCCTGGGTGTAACCTTACGTCAGATTTATTCCTAGGATGGAGCAGGCGTAAGTTTAGAAAGTCAGACTGGTATCCAAGGTAACACAACGTCACAGTCATTAAACTAAGCTGTGTGCACTCGATCACCTTTCCCACAATGCAACCCTATTGTCAACAGTTTGGTTGTAGAGCAACAGGTATGGTAGGCAGAAAAATGTGTTTGGCATGAAAACTTCTAAAATCCTGCACACTGACTTTTACATGCGGAAACAGTCAATCGGTCTTTGACCACCTCCTCTGTGGCTTGATAAGATTGTCGAATGAAACCAAACATGCAGAAAACATGAAATCAGAGTCAGTGCAGTTACAGCTCTCAAAGAGAAGGTTTAAAGAAACAAAAGCAGGACAACAATGAGACATTAAGCCACATCTGTCCAGGTTTGGATCTGTTGTTAATGAAAGTGTGCTTGATTAGAGCAGCAAGGAGAAGTTATCACATGCCCTGATATGTGCATGTGTATGGCCTGACCGTTGTAGATATCTGTTAGACTTAACTGCCTTATGGTACCTTTAACAGTGATCTCTTTGATCTTCTTGGTTTTCTCATCGATCCATTTCTCCCTCCGGATCTTCTCTGTAGCACTCATTAACTCTTTCAACTTCTTGATTTCCTGTGAATAGACAATTATACGGTGGCCCTGAAGGTCAGCTGTGCAAATATGTAATGATTGCCAAAAACATTTCACTACATGCAAAAGGATTCCATGAAACACAAAAACATTTTAAAAAAACATTAACATTTTTCAGTGAATGCGAAATATATAAAACTTGCTCCAATTTTTTTTATACCTGCTGCGAAATATAGTTCACAAATGGGAAAGGGTAGACCGATACTACTTGTTTGTGATTGGACTGAAGTCACGCCAGTACAAACATGTGAGTTCACCTGCATGACGGCAGGTTTCTTTTCGCAATGATGCATTTAATGCAGATGCTATGGGCAAACCGGTAGACGCGGTGTAATGTAAGCAGGATGCCAGCGCTGAGTGACTGCATACTGACAGGTCTATTTTTAATCTGTATTCAAGATAATAATGATAATATCTAGATAATTAAAGGAGGACTGCTTCGGAGATTCTCCTGAACTGTCTGTTCATATTATGCTCCTTACAGCGGGAGGGGGGGTGTCTCTTGAGGTAAGACTTGATTTTAAAAAAACAACACGGAAGTAGCAGACTATGGCAACAGAGTCGGCTACAAGACGCTATCACACTATCAACCAAAAGAGCGGAGAAGAACATACTGGAGAACAGAAACATAATGCAGCCGGAGATCGTAGTGGTCGCGTGCAGACAGTCTATGCACTGTGCAGCAGTCACAGGATATAAACGTCACTCCCCCTCCAAGCCTATTGGCTTGAGGTGAATTCTCCGGAGAATATCCTGCCGCATTCTCACATCAGCCCACACGGACTTGCTGCGGAAAAAATACTAGGGGGTCTGGCAGGAGAACCTCCGGGGGAAGTCCGAGCAAATAATATGGCTGTTTGCGTTCACACATACAGCTCCTCCTGATAATATCAATGTAGGCTTTTCATTCACATCTAAACGTAAAAGGGAAAAGAATGTGGAGACTCACATGCAGACAGGCTTTCCAACAGAAGTAGAGAGGGACACACAAATGAAAAATGGTAGAGTGAGAGAAATGACTGTGCCAAAGATGACTGAAATAGAGGAGGAAATAAAAGTTACCTCACACAAGGGACCCAGAATTTGCCACACCTGAAAGCCAGAGAACAACGAATACAAGGACAAAGGACAGTGAAGAACAAAGGAGGGGGAAAACAAGAGAGACCATTAAAATCAAAGCGAGGCCGCAAGAAAGCGAGATGATCTCACAAGACGCAAAGCGGCAGCAGAGGAGCAGAAGTCATTCGCACATGCCAATTCTTCAGACTTCATTAAAACATAATTTCATCTCACCATTTCATGTTGCTCTTGCATTTGTGCAATCTTCTTGGTGTACTTTTGGTCCACCTGCTTCAGCTCTCCCACCACCCCTTCACAGCGCTCGCTCAAAGCCTTCTTATCATTGATCAGCTGATGAAAGACAGAGTTTATTTTTAGATCACAAGGGGAGAAAGAAACAACATGTAAGAAAGCTGCAACTGAGGTAAGAGGTTGTGTATGTGTGTGTGTGTGTTGGGGGGGGGGAGTGTACCTGATCAATGAACGTGAGGTGTCTCTGGATGGTGGCTTCATATTGTTCCTTCTGGAGCTGGAAGTTTCTGGACAGCTCCTTCTCTGTCTCCTTCACATGTCTCACTGTCAGCTCCCTCTGCTGGGCCTGATGTGCAAGAGAGAAGATAAACACGGTAAGCATACATGGCCAGGTACAGTAACCTGCAGGATTAGCTGTCACATATTTCACTGTAAACAATAGGACATTGTGCAAGAAAGTCCAAGCCGCCCAAGCCCTTCCAGAGAGGGGGCGTGGTCAGACACAGCTCATTTACATATTTAAAGGCACAGACACAGAAACAGCCTGTTCTGAGCAGGGCTGAAATAGAGGGGTTTATAGACATGATCAAATACAGGATCAGAGTGGATTTAGAACAAGAAACTTCACACACATGTTTTAAGCCTGGCTCACACTGCAGGATAATCGAGTTTTGAGCTCCGATTCTTCCTTCCCGACAATCGCAGGGTCGCTCCTGACGCAAGGCTGCTCGGAACCGATTATCTGCTCAGATTATCTTGTAGTGTGAGCGGTACAAAGAGCCAATCTTAACGTCTCTGATCTGCCCGGCAAACGTCGGGGACGCCACCATTTATTTCAAACATGTTTGATATTTAGAATTTAAAATCTTGACGATTACGTCAGAAAGGGTCTGGCAGAAGTTGTGTGTGGCCACAATATAATCACGAGAGACAAGGGAGGACTGTAGTCATGGCGACCAGCGGCATGACAAATTTTTGGGGGGAGTTTTCAGTAGCCTACAGATCATCAGTGCATCACTTTTCTGAAACTTGTGTCCATAAGATTTTATCAACTTTCCTCTATCCTACAACAAGTTCCACTTCCTTCTCTTTCACCAATCCGTTGGAGTTTTCAAATGAAACTTAATTAACAATTGTCAACGCTCCGTCTCGATTTCACTCGTACAGTGTGAGCTCTCTGCCGTGCCCGACAATCGGGTCATACAGTGTGAGCACATAAATCTCAAGGTCTGGTCGGGCGTCGTAAACAATTCAGTCGTACAGTGTGAGCTGACATGCCACCCCGACTTTTATACAATCAGGGAAAAATCGCACAGTGTGAGCCAGGCTTTAAGGAGCTCTGAGACTTATGTGTTCTCTCCCTCACCAGTGCCGTCTGCAGCATGTTGACGGTACGTTTCTTTTCCTCTAGCTCCAATTTGATTCTCATCATGGATCCGGTGATTTCAGCGGCTGTGGCAGACGCCTGCTCCACACCAATCAGCTCCTCCTCTGACAGCACAGCCTGAGATCAAACAGGAACACCGGCAGGGTTAAAAAAAAAAAACATGCCCATGTTTGATCCTTCCATCTATCAGGAAATCTAAAAGCATCAGGACTGACATGATTTGACAGCCGACAGATTTTAGTAGATGGAATCAGAAAACATCTACTCTGGTTTGGAGTAGCTGAATGACTCATATCGATAGGTAAAACACAATGATAATATTCAATATGCATTAAAAGGCTAAGTGACAAAAAACAGAAAAACGTAAGGGTTGCTTAAGTGTCAGCCTCATCGTGCTCCACTGACTCAAACACTGACCTCTCTGTGAGAACCTGAGGTAACAGAGCGGGGTCTTTCCTGTTCAGACTTCTCCATCTCATCCAGGAAGCTCATGATGCTCTGCAGCTTGGCCTCAGAGAGGAGGGCGCCCCCGTCTGGCAGCGCAGGGTGATGGCTCAGCTGGCCGTGCCGCTCCAGGTTGTCAGTGGTCAGAGAGTTGGAGTCTTCATCCTGTAATGAGACGAATAAGAGGAGATGGAGGTTTTAAGTCATATTCCATCTATTTAAAGAGATGTAGAGTTTCTACATTAGTAGGAATTAAATCTTGGAACCCAACGTTTTTATTTTACTTAACACTCAAGCTGATAGACATGCTGGACTGTAGAAGACTCACTTCATCTATCCAGGCATATTTCTCTTTGTGGTAGCACTTTGGCTCCGACAGCCTCTCTGGCTCGTCCTCTAACAGCTTCAGGGTGTCCAGCAGCTCAGTGAGAGTGGTTTTGGACGGAGCCCTGCTGGACAAAGCTCCCTGTCGCTGGTCCTCCACGCTTACCGACCTCTGCAGGATCTCCTGGAGTGTGGACATAAGAATCGTTTTTATAGGGGGACCAAAAGAACATTTAAACCAGCGAGGTAAAGTGCAGCTGAAAGATTGCAGATATATTTACCTGGGAACATTGGGAACCTCTGCAGTTGGACAAAGCTGGGGAGACAGCCCTGAAGCTGGAGAGCTCCCCTAAGTCAGCGACAACATTCAGGTTGGAGTCTGTGGAAAACATGAACCAGAACAGTTGAAAGAAGTTGAACTTTTTAGCAACCTCATCGGGTGTGTGAAGATATTTTTGGTGTTGAATGAGCAGTATTCTTATTTTGCTGACATGCTGACAGAGACATACAGACCTGTGTTCTTAGCTTTGACATCTGTAGGTGACATCAGACTGTTGTTGCTCAGGGAGGCAGGACTTTTGCTGGTCAAAGATATTCTCGGCGGTTTCTTGCGTCCGACCACACCAGTCTGTCTCACGTTATCCAGCTCAACATCTGTGACCCGCTGCGCTCTCTTCTGCTGCAGCTCCTGCAAACCACCACAAGGGGGGAGACACAAGACAATTTTTTTTTTTTAATGCAACACATTGTCAAGTGATGAAATGATTACTTTTTAAATGTGTCTTTAACCATGAATCAGAATCGACAAAAACTTACACTTACACCAGGTGTGTCCACCTGGGAGGCAGCTAAGCGTGCAAGACGAGCTTTCTCTTTACGTTGGAGTTTCCTGTCGTTTTCCTGCTGCTGCTGCTCCAGACAGATGTCCACCTCCACTCTGATCTCTTGATCCTACACAGGGGGGGAAGTATAGTGCTTGGTAAATATCAGGAAAACCGCAAATATTAAGACTTCAGGAGGTGAAGAGCCAAGTTGTGGATTGGTTTGTTTGTACCTGGGAGCACTGAGACTCTCTGTGACCAGACAGAGCTGGAGAAATAGCTCTGAAGCTCAGCTCGCCAAAGTCTGCCACAACATTTAAATTGGAGTCTGTGGAAACACATAACTAATTAAACATTTTAACACAATCCTTTTATATTATCTATTTAAAAAAAAAATCCACAGTCATTTTGGCAAACCATGCAGACACACGGACCTGTGTTCTTCGCTTTGACGTCTGTTGGTGACAGCGGACTGTTGTTGCTCGGTGAGGCTGGACTTCTGTTGGTAAGACATATCCTGGGCGGCTTCTTGCGTCCGACCACACCGGTCTGTCTCAGGCTACCCGGTTCTGCCTCGGCTGCTTGCTGGACATCTGCGACCCGCTGGGATCTTTTGTGCTGCAGCTCCTGTGGCACACCACAAGAGGGAGACAAAGGATTCATGTTGTCACCCATCAAAATCAATCACAAAAAATAAAAAATAAGGCAAAAAGTCACACGGAGGCTGAATTCAAATGTTAGATAACAAAAACAATTGGCACTTCAAATCAAGGCGTAATGATCATTGAGTCAACATAGATAGTTTCAACTTAATTATCCAATTAGGTAGGTTTAGCTCCAAATGTAGGTAACTGTTGACTGTGCTGTAAATAAGATTATTTATCATGACACAGCTTTGATGTAGTGAAATCTGTCTACCTCTTATAAATGATTCCATCTTTACATCACTACATATTTTTTATCATCTTTATTTCTGCCTCCTTTACAACGCTACACACTGCACTATTGTCTCAATGCAGCTTGGATATGTTTTAGTTTAATATTAGATTTTGAATGCTTGCACATAGAGATCAAAGTTAACCAGAGTCAAATTCCTTCCTTGTTCATGTAATGTGATTCTGTCACAGCATTTACTCTGAGTTTTAAGAGTTTGAGCTGGAGATGAGTCATCTATGTTGTGTTTATCATTTAACTAGAGGTGAGCACCTTGATGGCTGCGAGGCGGGCCAGGCGAGCTTTCTCTTCGCGGATCCTTTTTCTGTCTTCATCCTTCTTTTGCCGCTGCTCCGGGCCACCATCCTCTTCTGCTCTCTCCTCCCACTCCTTACAGCACAATCCAGAGGCAGCGTTAATGCAGTGACAACAAAAAGAGAAATCTTAAACCAAGATGATATCATGAGAAACTAAAAGGTGAGGTCATCATTAGCCTGTGGACAACTGGATACCTTTCTTTTACTGGCAAGGATGCGTTTGAGCACGGCCTGGTCGGTGTGATGTCTCTTTGCATGGCGTCTGTACCAGCGCTGGATGGTGACTGCTGCCTGGTTCACCTGCTGAATAAACCTTCAAACACACAAAGGAACTACGATAAGTCAAAAACTAACTTACAGAAGAAAAGAATCATTAATGGAACAGTAAACACCAGAGGAAACACTGTGGAAGCACAGGGGGGGTCTGACCTCTCAGCCTCCTCCTCTGTGACCTCCCTCCTCCGGAACAAGACGGGGCTGCCGTGCTGGGCCGACACCGGGGATCTGTTATTTGAGGGGGAGGAAGTCGAAGAGAAATTCTTCTGGGACTTTGTAAGCGAGCCGTTCTCCTGTGACACCTCGTCGTTTGCTGTGGCCTTCAGAATGTTGCTGTGAAATGAAAAAGGTTATAGACATTTTTTTAGCAACCTCACAAAAGTGGGTTCAACAATAGAGTTAAAACAGAAATGTGTCATTTTATTCTATATAATCAGCCCAATACATTCGGCCTAACCTGAATAAACTCTTTCAAATGTCAGGCAGGAAAATATCATGATTTCAGGACATACTTAAAAGAGGGCTTCTGGTTGGAGCTCTTAGGTGTGAGGGGTTTTTCGGAGTAGTTGTTGTGTAAGATGGTGGTGACAGAGTTCCCAACAGCTCCCTTGTTGCTCCTGGGGGTGAAAAGGGCAAACTTACACTCTGCAGGAGACTCTTCAGACCAACAAACTTCACAAATCACGTGTTTTGGCATGCATGTAGAGTACTGAAACTTTCTCTTTACCCCCCCCCCCCTCAAGGTCTTACAGTAAGTGATACTGTACATGCTTTGAATTCATCCCAATCTCAACCCAGACTGACTTTTTGGTGACAACTTGTGGAAGACAAAGTGTATGTGAGTGGGGTGGAATTCCCTGAAGGCAGTATCAGCTGCAGTGATCAACAGGTATGAATCACGAGAAACAGAAATGTAGAATGCTGCAGCGCGAGTCGTCACCAGGCTCGGTTGTCTCTGCTCAATGTGGGCTACTGTGTGTGTGTGTGTGTGTGTGTGTGTGTGTGTGTGTGTGTGTGTGTGTGTGTGTGTGTGTGTGTGTGTGTGTGTGTCATAGATGCTGCCCACCTGTTGTTAGCAGTGAAAGTGGCAGCCAGAGCGATGCCAGGCTCTCTTTTCTTCATGCTGGTGGGAGAGTCCACACTGCCCGTAGTGCTGCGTGGGCTCGAATGCACGGGGAACACTCTTGGCTGATCGTCCTTTAAGAAGGGGAAGCACGCACTTGTTACACCCTAAACACTGTGAACGTTTACACCCTCCCTGACTCTCTTTAGTGTTCTATATTTTGAGGTCTAAATTATTAAAGGCTAATTATACAAACAAAACAACAAAGCTGAAGTCCAGCAACTCACATGCTCTGCAGGATAGAATTGCTGTTTATATTTTCTTAGTTATACTCTTTTTATATGCTCAACTATTTATATTCTTTTGTATATACATCCTATTGTTGTTTCTATCTGTATTTATCTTATCTATCCTGTACATTTTGTATTACTTCTTTCTCTGTCTTGCTGCTGCAAAGTATTATCCTATCCTTTCCTATATATTCACTAACCTTCTAGCTCAACATGGGATCATATGAAAATCAGCATGAATATAATATCAGCTGCACGTGGAGTGTGGGTGATGGAAATACCAGGATGTTCCATGTGGTTCGGTCTGGCGAGGTCTTGCTGAGGCTGGCCAGTTTTTTACGTCCATCTGAGCTGCGATTGAAGAGGGACAGGTAGTCCTCATTCTGGTCTTGGCTGTAAAACACACACAGCTTGGTTTCATGAGGACACATGTTTCACTCTCATGTTTGAGATGTATAAACTAGTCACTGGTGGTGAGATCGTTTCCTCTATTCCAGGAAATTAAAACCAACATTGTTTACATGAATGGATATCATAAGAATGGGAAGCAAAAGCATGAATCTTATTGCAATCTGCGTGAAGGAACTCCAAATTCTGGCCTCGATTTTCATGAAAAGAAGCTTAGTAGTTAGGAAAACATTTGTAAACAACCCAACACAAAGCTGGAACCCTAAGTTGTGGCTTTTAGTCTTTTGTGATTAAATGTTGTAATGACAGCTGCAGAAACAGGACTCATCTAGTTCTCTTCTCCTCCCCCCAAAGTCCTGGAATCCCATTTGTGGCAGCTGACCGTCTGCTGGGGGGGAACTCTGCTGTGGATTCCATGTTAATACGTGCATGCATATGTTGATCCTGGTGGCCTGTCAAACATCCTTCAAATAGCCTTACACACCAGCCCCTCCATCATGAGGCACAGATGTAGTGTGACCTGCTGTCTAGCCCCGCCTCCACTCATATCTGTGCTGCAGCCTGCCTGTGCTGTGCAGGGGGGTTTCTGTCTGGGTACATTTAGAAATGAACGTGTGTGTGTGTATGTGTGTGTGTGTGTGTGTGTGTGTGTGTGTGTGTGTGTGTGTGTGTGTGTGTGTGTGTGTGTGTGTGTGTGTGTGTGTGTGTGTGTGTGTGTATGAGCATACAGAGGAGGGGGGTAAAGCCAGCTGGCCCAATGAAAAGCAATCTGACAACACTATTCAGGCAGCACATTCCTCTACTTTCTGCTTTTCAAGAGGGTGATGCATGAAGGGGAGGGAGCAGTGGAGAGGGAGAGGGGCAGTGAGAGACCCAATGACAAACTCTGAGACTCTGAAGGGGCATTTAGAATGTCTTTAAATTTAAAGCCCCTCTGCTCTGCATCCTCAGAGGCACTGAGAGGAGGGGGGGCTAACGGCAGCTGCCGGAATATAGAACCAGTGCGTGCACACACACTTTCTTCCTTTCACTGGCTTCTGGCTGAAGGGGGGTAACCTGACCTCGAGGTCCCGGCCCTCCCCCTCTGACCTGGGACAAAGCAAGTCCCCACACCCCGCAACCTCAGCAACAGCCACCCAGCTTCCCTCTGCTCTTTATCATGCAGTAGCCGGCGCGCCACAATTTCCATTGTCCGACATGCTGAAGCTTCAAGGCTGCCAGCTGTTGCTGAGTGAAGAGAATCCATTTGGTTTGAAGAGCAAAAGACTCCAGCTGAACAACAGAGATCGTTCCTACTTCTAAACTCTCAGACACTCTTAATCTAAAATGAACTTATCTTTCTTTTTCTTTCCAAAAAAACATTGCCTTGATGTTTTTGGAGCATATCAGTCCCTTTAAAGGTCATTTGATCTCACTGAATGTTAAGTGCAAGTTTTCCCCCGGGGCTTTGCTGAGTTCATGTCACAGCACATAATGTTCTGTATCGTAGTGTGTCAATGTCAGTGATAAGGACTGAGGGAAACAGTTCTGACGCAGAGACACAAGGGGATTCTTTCTGAAATACTTCTGCTTTACTTGAAAATGCGTGTACAGTATGAGTGTGTTTGTACCTTAAACTGATGTTGGCCTGCTGGTTGACCTGAGTAGTGCTGTTGGAGCGCCTGAGGTTCTTGATGGAGCGGGACCCACTGAAGCTGGTTTCACTCTGTGGATTCAAAAGATTTGTACTTTTATTAAAAAGACGTTTAAACGCTCCTCTTTCTCGTCCTTCCTGTTTAAAATTCTGGTGTCTGGACATGAGGATTTGCAGATCCCAAGTAGCGTTTTGAAAACAAAACATTCATAAGAAAAACTGTTGCTAGTTTTCCTTACACTTCACAAACACATGATAATATCTCCAAATGTTTAGGGTGTACTTAACCAATATCTGACACTGTACTTGAGGAGTTGCAGAACAAAACTATTGAATCTTAACATTCAGGCATTACACTCATGCTTTCATCAAGAACCCTGAAACATACAACGAGGTAGGCAAAGTTCTGACTTGCTCATTCCTGCATCTTGAATAGACTATCTTTTTTAAATAATTTGTAGTTTAGCACACAGGATGTTACTCACCAGCGTGTTGCGTTTTCCTCTGCTATCACTTGCCACAGAAACCGACACAGACCTGGAGAAGTACTTCCCAGGCGATGCACTGCTGGGTCTTCTGGACACAGTAAGCTGGGAGCCTGACAAGCTGAGGTCCAAGGCATCTCCTGAGCCGCCTGTCGGAATGGATGAAGGGCTGCGTGTTGTCTGCATCCTCAGAAAACCTGGACTCGAGTCAAAAAAGACCTTTATGAGAAGACACAATGGGTGACATATGCTATTTGCCTGAGGGTTCTGTGGTTATAACCACACAACAACAGAGAAAATAACAGCTACCCTGACTATTTAGTCTCCCATGGTAACCAACAACAAAAAACCACAGGTTATTTTTTCAACAGCTGGGATAGAGTGACAATACAGACAGTGACAGTGGAGAACGAGCTCAAATCAAAGTAACTTACAGTTTTAGGCGCTGATCTTTCTTAGCAATAAAATGTGTATTACATAAGTAATTACAAAGGTTGATCATTGGTAAAATGCTAAATAAATTAATTGTTGCTAAGGCTAAGGGAGTCCTCTTCTATCGCTAAATAGTAGGTAGCTGCCTGGTCCCCAACACCCCCCAAATTAGAAACCAAATTATCAAACAACAACAAGAAAAGAACATGAAATATTGTAAACAAAAGAGTAAAAAAAAGCCATTTAACCCTGAATAGAGACTAAAAAAAACCAACAACAACAACCCACACTAAGAAAAGTCCTGACTCTGTCAGCACAGTCTGACTGTAAAAAAAGATCTGGCTTGTGGCTCGCAAAGGATGACAGACTCTCAGTGTGACAGTTTACAGGTAGACACAGAGCTCCACTTCCTCACATCACGCCCCAGGTACCAGGCTGTGAGAGAGGAATACCAAACCCCCTAATACCACACGAGAATGTGATGTTTGGTAATATGTTGTTTTATGTGATATACTGTTTGTACGGTTGTATTGTTCTTAATTGTTGTTTATTGTTTGTATTGTACCGTTTGTTTTTGTAGGATCTTCCAGCCCAGGGACCAGAGACGTAAATAAGCTTTATAGCTAACTGTGGCCCAACAGTTGAGACATCATGGCCCCTGTCACATAAACCAATAAGCTAAATGTACATCCTGACTTCGACACAGACACACCAAAAACTCCTTTATCTACTGGTAGGAAAACAAAATTGTGAGATTATAGGTGCAAAATGTATCACAGCCTGTCAGGACCTGAGGACGACCAGCGAGACCTGAACACACACAACCACAGACACACACACATACTGTATACAAAGCTACACATATAAAAAGCTACACTACACACAAACTAGCACAATAACAATTTAAACACACACACAAGAGCCTTTCATAAACACAATTAGAACAATTTGTGTTATTTTGTAGATGTTTATCTGATTATTACTCTCGCTATAATGTCATTATTAATGATTATTACTATCAATAACGTTTATTTTTCAACACCGCTCCCCCATTCTATTTACAGTTTAATTTATAATTTTATAATAATAAATAATAATAATACATTTAATTTTATTATTATTATTATATTATATTTATTTACTTATTACTATTATTTTCTAAATCTTATTTTAATTATCTTTTTTCACTTTATTTTAATTATCTTTTTTCTCTTTATTTTAATTATCTTTTTTCTCTTCATACCTTTCCTTTTTGGATTTTTATTTATTTTTATTTCATGTTGTTTGTATTCTTGTATGTTTAAAAAAAATTATATATAAAAATGTGCCAGGATGAACAAAAATATGTGATGAAATATGCCAACTTGTAATGTAGTAAAACAGCCTGCAATAATTAAAAAAATAATAAAAAACGTTTATTACTGTATTCTTTGTTATTATATATTTTGTTAACATTGTCACATTCATGTCAATAAAGATTACAGAGTTGAAAAGTATTTCCTTGTATATCAGCTATGTTAGCCATCTCTCATGTTTCATCATCACAAAAACAAGACTGTGAAGTAAAACATGAATAAAGAAAGAACTACAGATTACACTAGTTCACAAACATGTGTTATTAAGCAGACTATTTGTAGCATTAAGTAAAGCTGTCATTATTAAACCCGTTGCTAATGGCAACTATAAAACGACCCGTTAATAACGTTACCGTGTTGACTGGGACAGACGCAAATTTGACGATATATTTCTTTATAATTATTTGCCACGTCAACTACTTGGCATTGTGTCACTGTTAAGACGTCAAACTGTATATATTTGACTTTAAAGACCGATAAAAACACAAAGTTTTCCGTCAAAACAATCCTAGCTAACAGTTAACGTCTCTAACGTCTCCCCTCGTCATCCTCCACAAACGTTGCCAGCTGAACAAACAGGTCAGTTGTTGGATACTTACTTCAAAAACTGGATGCCAACATTGCATATAAACTCAACTACGCTCTCTCTCCGTGGTGTTTTTTTTTTTTTAATCCCAAATACAGTCCTCCGATCCGCAGAGAAAGTGCTCCGTTCAGTCCGTTCACAAACACTGGGGGACCAAATATCCCATATTATCGTCTCTGTGGCAACTACACGGCTAACCGCTGCTTCTTGACGTCTGTGATTGGTGGAAAAAGGAAGCGTGTGCATTTGTTCGTGCACCTGATTGGCTGGGTAGAATTGCCAGTCTGATGGTGCATTCAGGTGGTGTAAAATGGGTGGGGGCAAAATAATTTTTCTTAATGTTAAGATTTTTTTTTTTATTAATTCACGTATTGCTCATCAACTTTTTGCTCGAATATAACTTTTAACAGTAACATTTCACAGATTTTCTTCGTAGCATCAACGCGGTTTTGTGCAGTTGTTACAACATTCAGACTTTCCGAACTGAAATCACGTGAACACACTGAAGTGGGAAGAACGACATCCCATCTCGGAAACTCGGACCGCCCGAGCAGCACGTGAATGCAGCATGACTTCCAGGGGGGGGGACGACTCAGGAAACGGGTTGGTTGAGTTAACAAAAGGAGGTGTGACTGCAAAATAACATTTTTCCACAAGTTATCGTTCAGGGAGCTATTAAAACAGAAAACAAAGTTCCAGTCCACCAGTAGTATTTATTGATGCTTCACTCAAACGTAATCAAACAATAAAAACATTATTATGTATTACATTAAAACGGATTCAACCACCTGGCATCTCAACATTTCAGCATTTAAAAAAGCTTTATAAAAGAACAAATCACATTTAACCAGAACAAGTGCTCTCATATGGAATGCATTAATCACTGACAATTAAAAAAAATCCAGGAATCATTTGAATAATAAAAAAAAAAAGAGAAAATCACATAATAGAAAAAGATGAGCAACAAACAGCATTCAATTAGTCAGTATGATTTATCGCCTTTTAAACTCTACAGCTGCCCTCCACACATCAGCCCCCCGCCCAAGAGTGATTTCCTCTGGCAAAGACTCGAGCCCCAGCAGGGTTGGAAGGTCTTTCTGCTCCAGGTGGACCTCTAAGGTGGACTTGATGCTGTAGACAGAAGGGAGGGAGGGCATGAAGCAACCAACAGTTAGCAGTGCATCCATTGTTTTCACCACAAGCATTTTCTATTCACTTCTCTGCCCAGCTGCTGCCTCAATAGAAACGACCTGTGGCTGAGGGGATACAACTTTTCCCCTGACAGATGGCTGCCAGGAGGGGTCACGCTCTGGTCCCGGAAAGTCAAAAGGCTCACAATCTCAGGGGAGAAGCCCGGGGTGAGACCTCCACACTTAGCTCTGATTAAAGCTGTCAATGATCAATGGATTCCTTCAGACTAGGGTGGTGATCTTTGAACTGACAATAGGCACACTTTTAAACATTCATGACTTTCAAGAAAACCCTTATTTTGAAAAAAAACAAAAAACACCTCCGGGGTAATAAATCAATAATGCAGATGTTTTAGGATTGTTTTGCCATTTGGGGCAATACCTCCAACAAATGCTCCCAAATGGTTAAATTTGTTGTGTTTAAACTACAAAAGGGGAAAATGCAAATGGCTTGAGCTTACTCCCAGTGTGCTTGGTAACCCGGCACAGCATCGCTCGTCTTCAGCAGCAGAATTTCATGCAGCTCCAGAGCGAACACGTCAACATCTGTGACAGCGAGGAAAACCTTCAGTCCTTTCCTCTCCTCCTCAGAGAGCTCCTGCTGGAACTCTGAGGGCAGCTTCTGAAAGGGGTCCTTTGACAAAAACAAGAAATGCGTGATAACAACAACAACAACAACAACAACAACACAGTGTATAAAGGCAACAGAGTGCAGTTCCTCAAATTCTGGGTTTATTGGGGTCAAATTCTGGGAGCCTGCCGTGTCAGACGGCACGCTCTCAACAGATTACAGACAGGAACATTTCCCTCTGTGTGGTTTGAGGGTCAACAGGGGTCACAAGTGAAAATAATAACCCGAAACTATGTGGTCACCGCGAGTGGGAGTTTCTTTTATGGCTTTAAAGTCTTAAAAAGGGGGGCTTGGATTAGGCACGGCTCCAACAGTCGTGATAAAAGAATGGTGTTATAAACTGTATTGTTCCAGGCTCCGTTCTCTAAAACCTTGAATTCCACAATTTTTAATAACTCACTTGCTTCCTGTTCAGCATGAGCTCCGACTTCCAACAGGTTAGAAGTTGCCAGGTGAATATGCTGTGCTCCAGTCTGCTCTCTCCAAGACCCTTAAAAAGAGAATTAAACAGAAAGCTGTGATATTAGAAAGACCACACAGGCGTTCATCTTTTTAGCGTCTTGATGGCAGTGCATGTGTACATTGCAATCTGCAAGTGATAACATTGTAAAGATGGGGCGGCAGTAACTCAGTCTGTAGGGACTTGGGTTGGGAATGGGAGGGTCGCCGGTTCAAGTCCCGGCCCCAGACCAAGTCCGGAAATTGGTCTGGTAGCTGGAGAGGTGCCAGTCCACTTCCTGAGCACTGCAAAGGCACCAAACCCCAAAAACTGCTCTGGAGCACTCGCCCCCCCTCACTCTGAGACCTCTCCATTAGTGCAACCCCTGTTTGTGCATGTGTGTGTATTTCAGCGTGTGTGTGTGTGTAGCATGTTCATTAGACAGATTTCCCCTCACGGGATTAATAAAGGATCAATTATTAAGATGTCATTTTTGGGGCTTTTATTGGATTGGACATCTCTTGTCTCCCTTGTCATCTGACGCTTAGTTTAACTGAATAGTTTGACCCCTGTCTCATCTGTTTACATGGAGGGGGCGGGGTTTATGAACTATTATACCGCAGCCAGTCAGCAGAGGGAGCTCTACATTTTTTGGCCTCACTACCATGCAGGTGTCCTCTGTCCATCTTTATAGAGTCTGTGTATAGTCTGTAGTCTAAGTATTTTCTGACCCTTGTCCTGGCGTCAATGTGAGGAGGATTAAGAGGACAAGAGAGACATGATGTTGGGAGGCAGGGGGTGACATGCAGCAGAGGGCCGAGGTCGGAGTCGAACCCACAGCAACTACAGCCTCTGTACACAGGCGTGCAACTTAAGCGCTAGGCTATCTGACGCAGCCATTGGTTCACTTTCATTTCTATTAAAAGGGTGAAACTTGCCTCACTTGTGTCAGTGTCGCAAACATTCAACGATAATGCAAGTTAAGAGGAGTTTGAGTTAAATACCGCTAACATCATCGGTTTGCTCTGCAGCTGTTAGTGGAGCATTTAACCCTTTGTGTGAGCTTTGTGAATTCCAAAGGGACATGTTGACTCATTTGGACAGGTTTAGTTTTTTATTTATTTTTCTATTTTATAATAATCTAATGATCTATGATTTTTTTATAATGATAATGATAGCTCATGAAACCTTCTGTTTGGGAGCAGGTTGTTTGTACAGTGTGGAATGAGGGACATTTTAATTCACTTGTTTATCTTCCTTACATGCACTCTTTGAGTAGTTACACACACTAAGATTTTTTTTTCTTCTCATAGTCCACTGACCACCTCCTACATTACACCTTTTGTAAAAAAAATATTTTAATTTTTTATATTTTACATTTTTAAATTCTATTTTATATATTGTAATATCTTCTTATACTGTATTATTTAAGTTGTTGCTAGTTCTGCTTTATTTCCTTGTTAATTGTTTAGCACCAATACACCAAGTCAAATTCCTTGTATGTGTAAATGTACTTGGCAGTAAACCCAGATTCTGATTCTGATTGTTTTTTTAAAATCCCTCTTTAAACGGAGAGTTCACAGATTGTAAAAATATAAGAAGGGAGTGTTTGCTTACAAAACAAGATACGGTTCAGATTCTTTGCATAGCGGTGTGGTGAATCACATCTGGAGGTTTTCTACCTTGGCTACAGTGCTGGAAATCTGTGGCTTCATCTGCAGCGAGTCAGTGAGGTAGGACAGGAGCTGACACTGACGATCCCCGCCCGTCTTTCCGAGAAAGCGGAGGCCGATCTCCACCGCAAACACGGCGTCACAAACATCCGTGAAGGAGCGCAGCACCGCTTTCATGGAGCTGCAGACCGAACCCTTCAGCGGCTCCTGCAGTACAGACAAGAGGAGTGTGAGAGGGGAGGAATGTGACCTCTAACAAAAAGCGGCCTCACAAAATCCTACAAGAGAAACTACTGTGAAAAAAAACTCTGGCTGGCATTAGTCAGTTCCGGATGAAGACGCTCGAGCCATAAAACACTTAAACGAGGTCGTCTCACCTGAGGGATCTTTCCTCTGACCTCGGTGAGAACCACGGAGAAATCTTGCAGATGTCTGTTCAAGTACCTGGATGTGTCCTGATTTTTTTTTAAATAGAGTACATCAGTGCTGGTTAGCAGGCTGTTCATGTTAAAACGTGCATGCAGCTCTATGATCAGTTTTATATCTTTACCGCTTGGATGAGTGGTTTCCCAGAGAAAAAGCGACGAGCCAGCTGCGTCTGGACGCCCTGCAGGTCGTAGCTGCTGTCTGTCTCTCCACCTTTCTTCAGCGTGTAGTGACACTTTGCCAGAACCAGAGGCAGCAGCTCTCTCTCGGGGTGGCACAGGGTCAGCTGGGTCTCTGATATCCGGTCTAATGGGATACTGTATTCACTGGGGAGAGAACGGGTTTATTAGGGGCGTCTATGTTGATGCAGGTACAGCTGGAGCACAGAGTCTACCATTTATCTTTGTTTGTCTAGCCACAAATTCATAACAAATGTTATTTCAAAACAGCCTGATCCAGATCGTACTGTTTGCCATCCAGGAAGTGTTACACATTGAGGTGTCTGTCCTGCATGATGTATATTTTTTTATATATTAACCAAATGCTGCTTTATGTGTATCCTGCATGGTTTATGTATTTTCTCCTGTGTCTGCTTCATTACTGTCATGATATTTCTATTTTTGCAGCTTTTAGCGATGTTTGAATTTTTTTTTTTTAAGGGAGCCTTTTATAAAATCTGGCCAGGGACAACAGGTGAAAATTAACCTTTTGGCTAACTCTGGCATATTTACAGAAATGTTTATTAATATGCAATGTCCCTGTAAAATAAATAAAATAAAAAATAA